CAGAACTGTCGTTCGCGGTACCGGCGAATTCTGTCTACCGTTAAAAGAGAAATTTGGGAGTGATCAAAAGAATTGGTATTCATCCCGTACGACACGCCCGGCCACCAAGCCGATTTGCACGAAGACGTCGCCGAGCCGTTGATGCCTTCTCGTGGCTGAAGACATCGCTCGCGCAAACGTCAAGCACGACGTGTCTACTTCGAGTTCAATATGCACGCGTACGATTTCTTTACTAGGTGCGAATGTCCCCAAAGCGTGGTGCTTCCCGACTTCGACCCAGGAGTGCTTTTGCTAGAGAAAAATCGAAAGCAAACCTTCCAACTTACAGTTTACCGGCTGAATTGTTACTAGGGAAAGAGATCCTCCAGAAAAGCGATGCGCCAGTAGCAAAGTGGGAAAGACGTCCGGTTTACACGCGGTAGCACCGGGTTCGATCCCCCGTGGAACTTAATTTTTTTTTCTTCAAACATTTTTCGATGTTTACATATATATATATATATTTTTACAATCATCACTGAAGAAACAAACAAAAAAATAACAAACTAATGTTGTGGACGATACTTCGCTGATTTAAATGGTATGGGATTTCCGTTTTGACACCTGCGAGCTCAATGTAATCACTTTCCACAAAATGCAAGGAGCATATAAATCAGGTAACGTCCGCTTTCCGAGGTGCCCGTATATGTTCTAAAGGAATTACAGCCAGCCGTTGGTTCCGATCCCGTTGATCTTTCGGAAACTCTGTCGCACAATGCCACTTTTTTTCGGATTCAGGAAATGTGAGCCAGCTCTTCACGCAACATCTTGGGTGTATTCTTTTCGGAGCCGATCATGGAAATTCACCACGGGCACTTACTACTCATGTCCAACTCCTCAATGTACAAAACAACTCATTTTGGAGTACAGAACAACGAGCGGAACAAACATAACTGCAAAAAAAATCGCACGGCGAGCAGTTCCCGCACGCCCCATCGCACGCCGCATGTCCTGTCGTCTGCTACCGAAGAGGAGAAAAAAAAACAAAAAAAAAAAACGCACGGTAGGGTGTAGCCACGTGACTTCCGCCACTCACTCTCTTCTCTCCACTTCTCCGACCTCCGTCGGGTTTCGGTTTCGGTTTCGAGGAGTTGCGTCTTTTGGCTTTATTAAAAAAATACGCTACTCTGCTGCAAAATATTAATTGGGTAGTCCTCCGACACCATAATGAAGCGCCTGGCAAAAAATAAATTTTTTTTTTGGGGGGGTGTCAGTGTCCCTTTAAACTACGAGAATGATAGATGAACGGCAGTGCTTGCGCCCTCGACTTCGACGTTCTGAGAAAAGGACTGGTGGGGGATCCACTTTTGTGCAGAACACGAGACAACGAATCACGGTGAATAGTAGAAACATCCCAGCTAATAACAAAACTAAAAATACGACTAGACAAAAAAAAAGTTTGATTCGCACAGGGCTAATGATTTGGTTGGTTGGTAAAAACTTTATTGAATGCCCGCAGAGCTTTCGCTGATCGGGCCTAAGTCACCCGCTTGGGGGCGTTGCCGCTGGCCTTCTTCGCCCGTCTAGGGGCGTCGAAGTCCTGCCGCTTCACCGCCTCACAGGCCTGCTGGACGGCCCAGAGTTGATCGTCGAGGCTGGGGCTGCACAGGGCAGCGGACAGCCGCGGCGGGAGGGTTCCGGAGTTAGCAGCGTGCGGGTCTTTGGTGCAGTCCCAGAGCATGTGGGTTAACGTGGCTACCTCTTTGCGGCAGACCTTACACGTGTTCGTCGTGTATATTTCGGGAAACATTCTGTGTAACTGTGCCGGGTTAGGATACGTGCGCGTCTGCAGTTGTCTGAATGCGACCGCCTGTGCCCTGTCCAGCTTGTCGCTGGGCGGAGGGAGTGTCCGTCGGGCCAGGCGGAAGGCCTTGGTGATTTCGTTGTAGCTCGTCATACGGTCCTTGCTGCTGTACCACGGACGACCGTCGCCGGTGCGGTTTGTTAGCTCGCGCGCCCTGGCGTGTGCCGTCTCGTTGCCGTTACGATGCTCCTCGGAGACTTCCCCCACGTGTGCGGGGAACCACAGGAGTCGGGTTGGGGGTTCTGGTCCTCGGTGGACTTGGCGTTGGCTTATGATTCGGGCTGCTCGTGGCGATATCCGTCCTTTGGCGAAGTTCCTGATTACTTGTCTCGAGTCACAGAGGACTGTTTTGGACGCCGGGTCCGTAAGGGCGAGGGCGACTGCTATTTCCTCCGCTTCTTCGGCGCGTTCGCATGTCACGCTTGCCGATATCTTCGTTTCCCCGTCTGAATCGACAACCGTCACGGCAAATCGGGAGCCTCTCTCGTACTCGGCGGCGTCCACGAATCGCGTACCCACATTGTTGCCGTGGGCATTGAGGAGAGCCTTGGCTCGGGCCTCTCTTCTGCCTCGGTTGTACTCCGGGTGAACGTTTCTGGGGATCGGATCGACTCTTATTGTCTCCCGGATCGCGACTGGGATGGTGACTTTGTGGCCCTGCTGTGTGTGGTATCCGATGCCGAGGTTCTCGAGGATGCGGCGCCCAGCGTTCGTGCCGGACAACCTCTCCAGTTGCGAGGTGCGCTGTGCCTCTGCGATTTCGTTCAGCGTGTTGTGGATGCCCAGCTGGAGCAGGCGGTCTGTGCTTGTGGATTCCGGCAGGCCCAAGGCGATCTTGTATACCCTGCGTATGAGGACGTTGATCTTGTCTTCTTCTTTCCTGTACCAGTTGTGAAAGGCCGCAACGTAAGCGATATGGCAGACGACGAACGAGTGGATGAGTCGCGTGAGGTTCTCCTCCCTCATTCCGCTCCTTCTGTTGGTGATTCTCTTGAGGAGTCTCGTGGCGTTGGTCGTCTTGTGTACTAGTCTGGTGATGGTTCCGCCGTTGTGACCCGTGGCTTCGATTATCATGCCGAGGACTCTGATTCTGGGGACTGTCGGGATGGTCGTGCCATCGCTCGTGCGTAGACTGATTTCCTCACAGTTTTTTCGGGCTTTAAGTTTGCCCCGTTGTGCGGGGCGGTAGAGCAGGAGTTCTGACTTCTTGGGCGAGCACCGCAGGCCCGTGCCTTGAAGATGGGCCTCTATTGCGTCAATTGCTGACTGCAGCGTCGACTCAATATGACCGTCGCTGCCTCTGTGCACCCAGAGAGTGATGTCGTCAGCGTATATGGTGTGCCGGACGTCTTCGATGTCTTGTAGCTTCTCTGCCACCCCGATCATGACCAGGTTGAAGAGTGTGGGCGAGATGACCGAGCCCTGCGGGGTGCCGGCGCTGCCCAACGTTTGCTCTTCCAGCTGGAGATCTTTTGCCACTAGTACGGCGCGTCTGTCCGTCAGGAAGTCTCTCACGTAGTTGTAAGTGCGCAAGCCGAGGTTTCGTTGTGAAATTTGTCGCAGAATCGCCGAGTGAACGACCTTGTCGAAAGCGCTTTCCAGGTCGAGTCCGAGGATCGCCCTAGTTCCCCTGGTCTTGTTATCCAGCACTTGGTGTTTTAATTGTAACATGCCTTTCACCCTCTCATTATCCCTGTACACATATAAATTTTTTTAATGATATTATTGTGTAATTAGTTGTCAATTTTTAGTATCGTTCTATTGTGCGACGTGGTTGACTGTTTTCTTTTCTTGTGTACGTTCTGCAGGAACGTGAATTCGCGAACCTTTTTTTTTTTAGAACAGTTCCCCGATATTGTTCCCAAAACAATGTCGTCAAATTCTTTTTTTTTATTTCTTTTTGCGAAACAATAGAGAATGGACGCTTTTTCTAGTGAGACCATCAGCTTAAACCTATATGAAGTCGTTCGATGTAAAATTACACGAGAGGTACTCTACTTAAAATATGCATGCCTCCAGTGCTGACCACGCAGCCCATTTACAAGTGTGATGACCCCTATGAGTGCTTGAACGTGTTCTTGTTTATTTCAAATGTTTGTTATCTCCTGTTTGACAGAAAGGTTGGCAGTATGTAAACAAAAAAAAACAATTAAAACAAACACGAAATGCTTCCTGAACATAGTTTTTATTTATTCATTCTGCACTCTTAGGCGCTGGCGTTCAACCGGAGTGCAAGTTTCAAGAATTCTACAACCTTTACTCGTCCGTCGTTGGGAATCTAAGGTTCAGGGTAACGGGAACACTGAACACCCCTTACATACTGCAAGGGGATTGCGAGTGAGTATGCAGTTTTCCTTCTGTGTTAACTTCGGGTCGTAAGGACGACGAAGCATAACCCCTTCGAAAATCTTCACAGAGGCGCCGCAAGTGAGCACATTGAAAGTCTAAAGCCGTAGTGCTCACACATCGTATATAGAAAGGCACTAAATATAGGGCAGGCATCAAGCACGCTCCATGCACGATTGCTTCGTATACATATCTGCTTCGAGCATGCCCGCAAAACATGACGGGAGCGTCATATGAGGAAAACGCACGCCTCGAACGGAGTTGGCAGACGGTCTTTTGTATACAATGTATGGGCATGCAGTGCGACCACGGCTCCAAGGCTAGAAGCACCAGCTCCTTGCGTTTGATTGCGCCCTTGTAGCACCTAAAACCGTTATCACTGCAGGCTTTAAAAGGGTTTGTTGGTGTGTCTCAGTCGAGGTAGTTCACCGCATCTGAAAAATCAGTTGTACGCAAATGAAACGACTTTCACTTAAGTTCCTTCCCACGGTTGCGTTCGCAGCGCCCTGAAAAACGTCACCCAGCGAGTGGAAACGTTTCTCGAAGGATGTACCGCTGACAACAACGAAGATCTGAAGAAACGTATAAGGGGCTTGCGGTTAGCCCGGGATTCTTTGTGCGGCAGCGAACTAGAGGACGGTAAGAGGAGTCTGTATCCTCGTTCTCTAATCACCACCGTGGCTGGTGACACTGTCTTATGCGCAAGCGAAACAGTGGTTCTTGCGCACGCGAAGTGTTTACAACAGCTGCGAACAAACGCGCTTGTTTTGTCGCTTTAACACTTCTTTCTCACGCGTGTTTGTGTGACTCGCAGACCTGAACCTCTGGCAAGACTGTTTCGATGCGAAGGTCTTCGCTGAATGCAAGAAGAACGTCGCGGAGCGGCTGAGGAAGCTGGAACAAGACGGCGCTCTGGACGTGGCAGGAGATCACCTATGCAGGTACCCATCTTTGAATGTATGTCTAAGCAGACACGGGCTTCGAGGTTTATTTTGTAGCGTGAGCTACACTGGCCGAGGTTGAGCAGTTTCGCGTGGCTCGCATAATGAGCCGTGCTCCGTGCTGCGCAAGCGCGAGGAGCAGTGACGTCACACGGCGCACAGCTAGCGCGCCGGAGCCGCCGCCGCGCGCGCCTCGCCGGTCTGCGCATGCGCGAGGAGCAGTGACGTCACATGGCGCACAGCTGGCGTGCCGGAGCCGCCGCCGCTGCGCGCTTCGCCGCCACCGCGCGCACCTCGCCGGTCTGCACATTCCAGAGGAGTGACGTCATAGCCGCGGCAGACGCACTGGCGCCGCCGCGTGCCCAGCTGTCCGCCTCCGTTCCGCAGTAGCCAAGTCTCACGCTGCACCGGAGCCGCTTGATAGCGCCTCTCATTTTGTGATCATATACGCAGCTCACGCTGCGTATATCCGCATAGCCGAGCTAAGCCACCCCATTTTTTTCCACACGCATAGAACTTACACGGCGATCGAGATTTTGGCACATCGCAATGCAAGGCTGTGCCGCGGAGAAATGCAATGCATTTCTCCGCGGCACAGTGCTGGCCGTTCCGGCGGTCGACGCTCGCCTGATATGAAAAAATTAGTCGACTGTACACTCTCCGGCAATATGAAAGACCCACTGGGAGCGCGTGGCCGAGGCGGTGGCTGGCGGGGGCGCTGCGAGCGCTCCGGGCACTTCTATTCTGCTTCGAGGGGAGGACGCTCACTCGGGCTCCGATAAAGCGAAACGCGCATATTAGTTTGTGCCGAGTCCCGAGTGAGCGTCCTCCCCTCGAAGCAGAATGGAACTGCCCGGAGCGCTCGCAGCGCCCCCGCCAGCCACCGCCTCGGCCACGCGCTCCCAGTGGGTCTTTCATATCGCCGGAGACTGTACATCCGCCAGCAATATGAAGGTGAACTCCGGATTGTCGACCGCTCCGTGCTATCAGCGCTATGACGTGGCTGCCACGGCAGCCGCGTCATGGCGCTGATAGCACGGAGCGGTCGACGGCCCGGCGTTCACCTTCATATCGCACACGACTGTACACGCAGATCCAAGGGCAAAAATAGAAAACGCACAGGAAACTCACAATGACGAGGCAGTCGAGCCCACGTCGTTATACTTTGTTTCACCTTAGGTCCGAGCGCGGCCGATGTTATGAGCCGAAGGGCCAATCTAACGGCGAAAAAGGTGAACCGTCATGGTGTGCTCTCTGCAGTTACAAAGCGCCCAGTGCGCATACACTATTGGCTTTCTCCTTTCCCCCCCAACCTCTATCACAACGCTTCTCTCTCTCTCTCTCTGCAGTTGATAGGACCAGCGGTGTTCGCCGTCTTTCAGCGCATGCTCCTTCGCTGGGTCGTCCTATTAAGTGCAGAGAACGCCATGACGTGGCAGTTTTTGCGTTCTTTGATTGGACCTTCGGCTCATAACAACGGCCACGCTTGGACCTAACCTGAAACCAAGTATAGTTATTGACTCAGGGAAGAGGAGGGTTAACAAATCCGCCTGGGCGCATTTGGAGGTTAAACAAACGCACGACGTGCTCAAGGAGCAGACCAACTTGCCGCTTAGGGAGTATTCACCTGACACTATATTTGAGTGCACTGTTCACTGTGCATGCCACCCTTACAGACTGCCAAGACCGACAGTTTTGACGGTGTGGAATGCACGTTGACGAAGTACAGTGGAAACCCCCCGTCAGCACAGCGCTCAGCAATCACAAACGCAGAGATGAGCGCCGTTGAATAAGCCCTATCACCAATGAGATCTCAAGAAACGCAGGGCGGGTCCCACGCGTCTGATTAGCGCTACACAGCCAGCGAGATTGAGACATTAGCTGACAAGGACGACAAACAACGAATCACGAAGCGAGGAATGCGAACCCTATAAGGCACGCGTCTGCTCTCCTGCAAAGTTCTTGGGAGTGCCAATCACTGCAATTTACGGGGGTTTCGAACGAACGGAGCTTGAAAGACTCCGAGGATAAAGTGAAATGTCGTAGCTATGGAGTATGCGTCGTAGGGGCCACGGTATACGAGCCGTGTACACCCGACGGAGGGCTTATCGAAGGCTTGCGCAACATGAGTGTTCCCATTCCTGCAGAAACGAGTCGCTGGGCTTCCAGTGCGCACTGAAGGCGGGTGCCGGTTGTCCCGAGAAAGTGGAGAGGGCCAGGAAGGCCGTGGAAAACTACATCAACTTACTCATGGACGTGAAAACGTGTCGGAGGCCTGCCGGTAAGTCAGACATCGTATCGCGTGATGTCGCAGACTCTTACGCAAACTTCTGTGCTGGAACGCGTGTCTGACTGGTATGCTTTAGCGCCCTATTTCGCCCCGCGCATTGAAAGTGGTCCCTAAGTAGAGTGAGGAGAGGGCAACGGCCACGAACCGAGCGCCAGAACACCCGACGACGCAGCGGTGCAGGAACGTCAAGAGAGGGAGCCACGTGGATCACGTGGAGAGAGTCGCGAAGGGCAAGAAGGGGAGACTGGGAAAAGGAGGCGGAGGAGCACAGTGTAGTTAGGAGGTGTTAAAGAGTCGGTAGAAATGACGTCACAGAAGCTGGAGCCTCACGCTGTCGAACGTGACGATCCTGGCGGTTGAAGGCAAAACTCGTAGGAAAGGAGCCCGAGAGAATGTGACTTTCGCCGTTGTCGCGGCGTTCCCAACCCTTGGCTGTGGCTGCCAAAGCTTCCGCGGACAATCGAGCCAGAGAACGGCTCGAAATTCGTTTTCTTTCCGCCTGAAAACTGTTGATCGAGAACTGGCCGGTTTGAGTGGAGGTTGCCCTCTTTTCCGTGGTCACGTGCCATTCTGTACGGTTTAGGCCTTTAGGCACACACTCAATATGAAAATAGAAAAAACAAGTATGGTACCCATTTTTTGTGGCTTCTAAAAAACTGCAGATACGTTGATTGAAAAAATAAGTTGCACAGAGAACCGGACGCCCTTTGTGCATTGCGGGAGTCGCGGGCAGGATAGCTGGTCGAAGTGGACTAAGCGATGGTGGTGGATGACGGGCGTGGGACCTCTACTTCAGAAATGTTGTTCGCGCTACCGGCGAATCTGTCTAGCTTCGAGAGAGAAATCGTTTACCGATCGAAGCCATTAGGATTTATTCTGTACGACACGCCCGACCACCATTGCACAAAGACCAGGGTTGCCAGGTAGATTCTTGCTCGAACCGCCAAACGCCGGACGGTGTAGCCCAACAGTAGCCAAATGCAAGATATTTATATAGCCCAAAAGTAGCCAAATTCAAGATATTTGTGGAGCCCAAAATATTGTACACTCGCATACTTCTTGCTCAAGGCGAACGCACTGCGTCTGCACATCTAGGGTTTAGGTGCCGCTGGCAAGAACTACGACATCTTTAAAATGTGTTAAAAACGTTTTATTTGAAACAACACAGAAAAAAATAGCAGAATTTGGAAACACTTCCTTCCACACAATCACATAGCTATAACACACTCATTAATCGCTTTTGCTCGGCTGAATCTCCACATACATGACTCGCGTATTAAAACGGGCAAAAAATTCCTCCACTAAAGTTGGAGTCTTTACAACACTTGTCCTTTCCAAGAAATGCAAACTTCACATGAAGGGTGTTTTCAAGAGTTTAAAAGAACACCCTGTTTCTTAGGTCCGATTTTGTGAGAGACGCGTGACTAAACACCCTCTCTACGGCGGGATTTGACATAATCACTGTCAGGAGCGCGATGGTGCAGCTCTGACCGCAACGGAAACATGGCTGCTCCGGCGCTGTTAGTTGCATATTTTACATTCTTTAAAAATGTCATCACACAGACATCAACAAGATTTCTCACATTTGACTGAAGGAGCCTGTACTCTGACTTCATTTTTGAGATCATCGATGTCTGTATATAAAAGGCACAAGTGCGTTGTGAAAAGTTTCAAAAGAGTACTGCTCTTTTGCTTCGTCCGGATCTCTTTCCAATTCCTTTCGGTAGGAGCGCAAATGAGACAAATGCTTTGTGAAAAGTTTCAAAAGAGCACTTCGTGCTCTTTTGCGTCGTCCGCATCTCCTTCCCATACCTTTCAGTAGGAGCGCGGATATTTCGCCCCCTTTCCCGTGCTGGTGACCACGGCAGACTCTTGCGACGAAAACGCAACACCTAAGTGACGAGTTACGGCCGTTTCCGAGAGCTTTTATAGCATGAACACCTATTTAGCATTGACTGAGCAAGATCTGGGTTAGAACTTCGAACTTTTTCTTGTTCAAACTATTCATTGCTGTCTTTGTTATGGTTGCTTTAAGAAACTTTCATGTTTTGCGGAAAAGCCTTTTTTGTTATATATGGTACCCCCTTGGGTACCGCACGGTTTATCGGACGACCTCCAATTCCGCTGGATGTCTCAAAACACGCCATGAGGAATAAGAGGGCAGACCTTCTTTGTACAAACTTGAGAGCATAGGACAAGCCACAAAGAATTCAAAAGCGATGCCTTCTAAGCTGAATCTAGGTCACCGTAGCTAAGTGGAGCTAACAGCATCCGGCGTCACGCCCACGCAAACCTCGAAAGCAGAATCCGCAGAGAGTAGACTGTCGCTTTGTCTTTTGTCCGTCTGCAGTTAAAAAAAAAAAATAATAAAGTGCCGCATTAGGATTTGAAGTAGCCCAAAAATAGCCACATAGCCAATCGCCAAATTTCGACGCCAACTGCAATACTAAGTAGCCCAATTTGGCTATTAATAGCCCAACCTGGCAACCCTGACAAAGACGTCACCCAGTCGTCACCCCTTCCCCCTCTCCTGGCGAAGATACCGCTTGGACGCTGAAAAAGGCACAAACACCAAGCACAAAGTGCTTGACTTCCTCGTGTTTTTTTTTTTTTTTTTTGGTACGAAGTGCGACAAAGCGTGTTTTTCGTCTGCTTCACACAACCAAAATAACGAAGGAAAAAAATGTGGTTGGTGTAGTCACGTGACTTCCGGCAACTCTCTCATCTATACTACTTCTTCCTCCCCAGTCCGGTTTCGGTTACGGGCAGTTACGTTTTTTTTCTTTTTTTTTACTTTATTAAAAATATGTGTTACGCTGTAGCAAAATATTAATTGGTTAGTCCTCTAACACCATAATAAATCGCCTAAAAAAAATTGGGGGTGTCAGTGTTTTTTGAAGCGGGCGGTGGATAATGCTATATGTGAAAACTGAACAAGATGATTTGTTCTGCTTCGAAGAGTACGCTTGCGAGGGTGACCTGTTCGACCATTGCTACTGGATGGTCATGAGCGGTGCAGCTGCGCGATTGCCCCTTCTTCCGAGCGATGCAGAAACTCTCTCTAAACATTGCAAGTAAGTGCACTTTTTTCCTTGTTGGGCTCGAGTCCTCCTTTATCGAATTTAAGCTCGCATAATGTGTTACCTCGTCTCAATGCCGCTCCCGTGAAAACACTAGATTACTGTCTTTTATTGGGGAAGAGAAGAGATTGAACAGCCACGCCTCTAGTGGCACGGCTCAGCTGTGTGGGCAACAGACCGAATTTTCTTGTTTGTTGTTGATACGAAAAATCGAAGATGACGATCCGAAGGCCCCTCCCTCGTGCGACCAAAGCCATCACCTCCTAGACAGCTTTCAGGCCTGCGCGTCACGTGACATGACGTCACGTCCTGGAGGCCTGCACGGGCGCTGATTGAACGCGAGTGCCTAGTCAACCTTCGCGTGGGACTCTGATAGGAAACGAGCCCCACGGCGAACGCTGACGCGCACTCGCACCCAATCAGCGCCCGTGCAGGCCTCCGGGACGTGACGTCATGTCACGTGACGCGCAGGCTTCGAAATGGTTATGGAAAAATTGTTAATTTCAGGCATACGCCTCTTGTCAGGCATGACAAGCGGACGTTGATCTTTAATACCTACCTAACACTAGAAGCGGCAATTTTTTTATTTTTTTTAGCAGCATTTAGGGCGGTAGCGTTGAACAAAGGCTGACATAAAAGGAGGAATACAGGCACTATTTGGCATTCGCCACAAACTTCACCCTCCGCATATTTTTTGTATGTATCTGTATTCTGAAATACTTTGACATTCTTCCGGAAGTATCTTAAAACCCGTTCACACTCTTGCAACCGAGTACGACCGAGAAAGACCGAGATTTGTTAAAACCTCTTAAACTTTCTTAGGACGAGAGAACACACTGGCACACTGGCACACTGGCGCCATCTTTGCGGTGACCCTGGAACTGCATTTTACAAGAGCGTAGGTTTTGTGGTATTTCCGAGGTCAGATGTGCGTAATACCGACAAGAAAGGCTCGTTTATAACCTTGACAAAAGTTTTTCGAGCCAAGAAAGAAAGCGTAATGCTCGAGAGAAGTGGAAAATATGCCGGACCACCAAGTTTACACTGCTACCCAATAGATGGCGCCAGTGTATCCTCTCGCTGTAAGAGGTTTTAAGGAACCCAGTTGTAAGAGGTCGCAAGAGTGTGAACAGGCCTTTAAGTACATCCCGTTACGTAAAAGGTCGATGTAGCTCAGCAGATGTATTTTGGCCTTCGATGTATCTTAGTATTTTTATTCTGGAATATTTTTGGAGTAGGATCTCTGCCCGGTCCAGTCAATCTACCATGCTTAAAAATACATCAAGAAATAAATAATTACTATTTTCTAGCCACAGTGATTTAAATCAAATTGATCTGATGTAAATCAAATCGTATAGATCTGTTCTAAATAAGATAAATCTGATTTAAATTAAAAAAAGTATGATTTACATAATATTAAGAATAAATAATGATTTTTTCACCCTACTTCAGAAAAATAAACCGATTTAGGGGCGAAGTCATCAGAGCAAGTAGATTTATAATAAGGTAAATAAATACACACTACCGCATTTACCATATCATAGTCCGCACTTAGTCTACAAAATGCAGGAGCAAATTTTGACTGTAAAAAATAATTTCCCTTCGATAGTTCGCACCTGTTGAAGAGTTCGAACTTGGACTTCATTAATATTTCCCTCCTGTTCAGAACTATACCTAGTTGGTTCCCCGACATGTGGCGCTGCGGCTAACACAGTTCAATGCTAATGTAAATTCCTTCTATTTTAATAGTCTGTACTGTTTTTATCATTTCTGTTCTTCCATCGAAAACAAAAGTGAACGTGAATTCCTTTTTTTTTTTTTTTGTCATATCGGGGCCGTCACGATTGTGGTTCCTAAAAACCTCCGTAGCATCCTTAACCAGAAATAAGTGTGATCTAGGGCAGAATTAGCTGCGGTTAACCCGTGTACTGAGGGTACAGTTGGCACTAACTGCTGACTGTACTTAGGCGTGACTGTGATTTACCATACCCGTCGGGCACCCGCAGTAAAGTCCGACCTTGGTCACACTTAACTGCGGTTAAGGGTGCCCGTGTAATAAATAGGGTGTAAGTCACTTATTCATCTGTTGTGATTGAAACAGCAAGGAGTGGATGCTTGTGCCATCAAGGTCAAGCTTGCTCCACACACGTCCACTTGAGCGAAAGCTATCTTCCTCGTCACTTGCGGGGCCATCGAGGACGAAAGCAACGAACTGACGGCCTCAGGTTTTCTTGCTGTCTAATGTCCAGCACAAAGGGCCGTAATGTCGATAACTGAACAGAGAGACAGCCGCACTGATAGTGAGTGATTAGGAGAAAGAATTCCCGTATTGTCCATACTCATCAATAGTCCGCGAGGAGAAGGATATCAATTGCATGCCTTAAGAAACCGAAATAATACGATCATGAAAGGTCGCCAAACCCCTATCCTTTTTTATTTTATCCCTTCACCGTGTGTGGGCTTTCTGTTTTTTGCACAATGTTTACAGAGCCGCGAAATCCGCGCCTACTTGCACAAGGAACTTGCAGATCGAGCAATGCCCCGAAGAGAGAAAAAAAATTCTAGGTACCATCGAGGATGGCTTTCGATCAATCCCCGATTCTATTTGCAACGAAGAGCTTCCAGCAAGTGAGTGTTTCTTTTCCTTTTTTGTTTTCTTTTTATTAAACAAATTTCTTGCGGTGTGCTGTTCGGTCTTCCTATCTGCATGTGGCAACCTTAATGGCCCTGGATAGATAATAAGGTGCTTAAAACTCGGAACACCCCGTGTTTCTTGAGTTTTCAGTGGCTGTATCTTGGTATGTATGACTAAAGTCGCTAAATCCTGGGAAAGCCGCGCCGTTGCCCTCCCTGCCTGCTAGCAGGATACAAACATATATTGACATGCAGACAACCAAAACCTTGCAAAGTAATTAACTAACCAATTTCTTTTTTTTTTTTTACAATGGAAATTATTATTTAGGTTTTTTCTACCTCTTTTAAGTTTGAAAAGGGTCGTTCTAATTCTGCCGTGCCAAGGTCGTGATGGAGCATCAACGCACTGAAGGAGTTCCTCACCAATATGAGCGTATCCAGCGCCGTATAGCGTATTTGGAATAGACTTTACAATCCGGCCTATCTCCATAGATCTCTCACAATGATATTGTTCCTCGTGCATATTTCATGGCAGGAAAATTGTTTTTCAAAACCGCCAAGCTTCTACCGACGACATGCGGTGGCGGTGCGAACACATGTGCACCTGTTTCGCCGGTGTGTAAATCACGAAATCTCGGTACACATTTAACTCCGGCGATTTTTCGAACTACCCAACTAACTATATATTTTCGGAATCAACGGCCTCTGTCCTGGAATAGTTAAAATCGGAAATTGAAAATGATGCCAAAACCAACGTCAGATATAACCATAATAAACCCTGGAGAAGGGTTTAATAAGGGGGACAAAGGACACATCTAGGTGACTTGTGCACGACTGATCGTTCAAATGTAATTCGTTGTCAATTGCATCCGAGTTGCCCGTGCGGCACGGGTATAAGGTTCATACTTGCAAACGAAAGCTGAAGTGTGTTTAAAATGTTTGTTTTTCGCGGCAAAAATTATGTAGTTTGTTTTTGCTACATTGGGAACCAATTTGCTATAGGTTAGTTAGCTTGCTTTTCTAAAGTGTTATTAGCTTCCATGTATAATTCTCTTACGCTTGGAGGTGTGTTTTGCGCTCAAGTGCGCGGGTGCGCTGCGGCAAAGCGAGTTGCGAGATTGCGGTGTCAGCTCCGCGGGTATTGCTTCTCCGCAGTGCATCGATGCTTGAGGAGAAGCGCACTCAAGGGGGCTAACCCGCCGTGATCAACACTTTGAAAAATATGAATATTGCGGTTAATTTTGAAGTTAATATCAAATCGCGTATAATTAAAAACTAGCGTTTGATAACTCGAATATTCGCGCAGCCCTACTTTTCGCACATAGTACTTAGGCATCCGAAAAAACAACTGTCTTAATTTTCAGTGCCACCGCCGAGAATGCCACGCGTCAGACACTGTTTCCTTTCTGAGTCCAGCTCCCTTTTGGCGCAGACAAGGCGAAAATTGTGCACAAATACAGCTTTTGGACCAGCATGTAGCAGGGTCTTTGTACTGGTGCAGTTTGGTGCAAATGCCGCAGCAATTCCACCACTGTGCTAGTAGAGTTTGTTTAATACACAGACCAAAATTTAAAAAAAAAAAAGTCAATAACTTCACGATTAAAGAGAAAATGGTTACTAGTTCAGATCAGTGACTATCAATATTTCGCCTGAGCTCCCCTTTCAACTCCTGAACCAGTGTTAACTAAAGTGTTAACTATGCATGGCTTGGGCGTGACGTCACCACGCCATGCTGGCGGCCATTCCTACTTGTCCTTTGCAAAAATATACAAATTTGGCGGTGTGAAATATATGCTCCAGAAGGTATGTGCCCAGCCGTAAGGCCCCCATGTATACCATGTATACCTTGTTCAGCTTAACGGACACATGCAAAGGAAAAAAACATTTTTTTTTAGACAGCTTAGATGGAAAAAGTATGTGATAAAACGATTTTACAGCGAAGAAAAAAAATTTTTAGAGCTATATTTACGGCGCTATACGAATTTGTAGTCGGCGCTCGCGGGAGCCGCCGCTGGTCACGTGGTAGGCCCGCGCGCCGCCGCGCTGCGTCGCCGCCGCACGCTGAGCGTTGTGCGAACGCCGCTTCAACGCGTTTCTCCACGCCGCCGTCGCCGCCGCCGCACAAGTTCGTCTGCTTCGGGGCGCCGCCGCCGTCGTCTGACCGGCGCACAGGTCTATCACGTCTGCTTGCGCTTTTTCAGGAGTTTCCTTTGGGCTCTAAAAGTTACTTATTCGTCTTAGTTTTTTGTTATACTTCAAACAAAGATGAATAAGTTACTTTTAGAGGCCATAGGAAGCTTCCGAAAGAACGCAAGCACCACGTGATAAATAAGGAGCAGTCACGTGATAAATACGGACCACTTTTCCGCGGTGCCCTCGGGCGCCAACTACAAATTCGGTTTGCGCCGTAAATATAGCTCTAAAAATTTTTTTCCTTCGTTGTAAAATCGTTTTATGGCGTCCTTTTTCCATCTAAGCCGTTTAAAAAAAAAAAAGTTTTTTTCCTTTGCACGTGTCCTTTAAAGGGGCACTAAGGTGCTTTTTGAGATCCTCGTTCTATGGTCGTAACTCAATGTACGAGCTCTAAGCATCCTAAGAAGCCCAAAATTACATTCACACATCGCCGATTCAAATCAACCGCACATGAATGTAATTTTAATATTTTTTGGGAGGAGTAGAGCTTGTAGATTAAGTTACGACGATAAAACGAGGATCTATACTTCGTTTCAGCTTCGGTCCGAGCGCGGCCGATGTTATGAGCCGAAGGGCGAATCAAACAGCGAAAGAGGCACACCGTCATGGCGTGCTCTCTGTAGTTGATAGGACCAGCCTGTATCCGCCGTCTCTCTGTGCGTGCTCATCCGCAGGCTAGTCCTATCAAGCGCAGAGAGCACGCCATGACGCTGCTCTTTTTGGGCTGTTGGATTGGCCCTTCGACTCACAGCATCGGCCGCGCTCGGACCGACGCTGAAACGAAGTATAAAAGCAGTTTAGAGCCACTTTGAGTGCAGACGCGGCCGACACTACGAGTTAACGAGGCTAATCGAGCAGCATCAAAAGTGCAAGTCACTAGGCCCTTTCCTGTGACTGGTTCAGCGATGATGGAACACTACAGAAATATGACAAAACCGTGATGGTGCACTTTTGATGCTGTCTGATTGGTCCCATCAGTTTGTAGCGTTGGCTACGTCTGGACTTCAGGCGAAAGGAACTATAGTGGGCCACCAAGAGTCAAAACATATCCACCCTGAATCCGCACTGTTGCCGTGCAGAGCTACAGAGCGCGACACTGTTAGCGCGAACAAGCGATCGCCGGTTTGTCTTGTTTTTCATTTTGAAACCAAGGGATGTCATCCAAGTTAGTATTGCTACGGAAATAGCTCATTTAGTTATATAATGTAAACGATAAAATTTCGTGCTCGCTAATATCATTTAGAAGTAAAATGCGAAAATGCACCGATGTCGTGTTCGCGCTAACAGTGTCCCGATGTGTACATCTTTGCTTTTCCAAAGCGCAGGTGAAAAAAATTGTCTTTGTTTGGCAGGCGTCGAAGAGTGGAACAAGTGCCTGGACCTGGAAGCCTTGGAGAAATGCATGTCCGAGATTCCAAGACCTAATCTGACGTTCGTCTCTGAAGCGGACGTGCACGTCCATTTCTGCAGGTGATGAGTTTGTTTTCTTATGAACTACAGTCCCACGTGAACGACAAACAGCAATAACCGACATCGCGACAACCCTCAAGCATGAGAAAACTTGAGATGAAAGTATACCTATGGCGGGCTCGCAATCAGTCGATGCCCGTCAAGGGACTGCATGCCTGTCAAGGTACGGCCAGAGTACCAGTGGCGTACCAACTTGTTTTTGAGTGAAAGAGCAAACCAGCCCCAGCCCCCCCCCCCCCCCCCGCCCCAGGGCCGGGAGGCGATACCCTTGGTATTCCCTGGGCACCGCCGGCCAGTGTTTGCCCTGCCCAGTGGCGGCTGTTTTAGGGGGGGAGGGGGGGGGGGGGGGGGGGGGCAAAACACATGCCTTGCCCCTCCACTCTGAGAACTGGGGGAAAGCAAGCACCCCCCTTGCCCCCCCCCCCCCCCCCCCCAGATGGTATGCCCATGGGCCGGAGTAAATACGCGCTTGCTGACTTACGGCCTCTCCGGTGAGGCGTGAGCACGACAGCACCTATCATTGCAATGTGGCACTGCCAGATAGTTGGCTGGAAGTGCCACATGTGTGAACAGAAAGGATAGGTCAGTCGGGGTGCAGCGCTCCCACACAGAAAAATGTGCATGCTCTCTCCTCTTACAGAACAGACCGCATAAAAAAGAAGCGCACGAATTCAGAACATTTCGCCGCCAAATTTAGCGGGAACTTAGCGGCATGTGATGTCATGGCGTCGTGCAACGTCGTGGCTTCACCTGACATAACCGTGCCATGTGAGCACCGTCCTCTGAATCTGTAACGGGACGTAAGCTCGCTGAATTTAAGCACGGGCAGTGTTTGTGGAGAACTGGGCAGCGTAACAGTGTGCAGCGCAGGAAGTAACCGTGTTTTTCCTCAACAGGGACAGAGAGGAGAAGCTCAAGTGCGAACTGGCGGCAGGCTCAAACTGTCCTTCCTCAGCCAGTGTGGCCAAGAAGGCCCTGTACGAACTTCACATGCTAGAGAACACCCGCTACAACTGCACCCGACCCAAGATCGACGGCTACGGTGGCAGCGGCTTCAGCACGACCCCCGCAATCCTCGTCACGCTGTCAGCCCTGTGCGTCGCGCTACTTCCCCTGAAGCAGACGCTGCTCCGGGATTTTAATTAGAACCCCAGTCCAAGAGCAACCAGCGATACTCAAAGCCCCCGTATAGACCAACACTCCGTCTACAGACAAATGACGTCTGCCGACGCTATGGGCAGAGCGCGTGCGCAGAAAGCAGATTTGTGTGGATCATTTGCGCCTTCGTCGGGCCTACAGCAGCGCAACGACGTGACATCAGAGCCGGGTAATTGTTTCTTTTCAGCAACAAATTGTTAGCCACAATTACAAACATCAAAGATTGCAAAAAATAAAATTAAAAAAAATAGTAAGTAGCAAAATAATTATCTAAAACTGACTGATTTTTAATTAGTGAGAATACACATATGGTTCCAAATTGTAAAACTTGCCGAGCATCGTTAAAAATTCCTAAATCAGTCAATTTTAGGACGACTCGAAGCACTTGGGGAGCACCGGGGTGCGCTAAAGTTAGCACTCGTGCATCAAGCGCAAGGCCGGCGATGCGAAAACATGCATGATAAGAATATCATGCACGCTCTCGCATCGCCGCCAACCTTGCGCCTGCAATCCGGTCATTTGACGAAATAATTTTGAAACTGTGAACGAATCTAAGAGATGGGTGGATAGAAGGAAAACTATGGAGCGGAATGCGTCCAACAAAAATGGTTAAAACGACCCACATGATAAAATGGTGCAAGGTACAGTACTTTACAATGTAGACACCATCAGAAATTTTTTTTCGGATTTGCACTTTTTTTGACAATGGGCTTTGCAGTGTTCTTTTTTTTTTTTTTGCGAAACGGCCCAAAACTTTATTTGTATCCATTATGAAAACGGTGATCTATGAAAATAAATTGAGCAGCAAGTAATGACATGGTCCAGGAAACACGAGGATGAAATATTCCTTTTGAATGAAGCATTTCCAAAAGATTCTCGGATGTATTCTCAATAGCAGTTTATAAATGCCTGACAAATGAGTGCACGAGTGCATTACAATTTACAAACGACAAGCGTCCCTCCTGTAATTGAAGCTGTATAAAAGGAAACTAGCTCTCTTTCTTTCGACTGGAGGACAGAAAAAATTGGGCTCAAAGTAAGTTTCCGAGCGTTGCTTTTATTACAAAGATGAGCGTAAAATGACAACAAACAAAGAATGGATGAACATCTAAGACGTGATGAGAAGCGGTTTGACAGAGCTTCCGTCAAGCGGGGCGCCTCTTTCTTGAAGGATGTCATACTCGAGCGATGCCTTCAAGACACGAAGAAGACCATCAAGTTCCACTCACTGGTCTTAGTGTTGTTGTAGTCAATCATCCCTCCGAACACGCAAATAAAAAAATTTGTCGCCACGAATACTCTTTCACTGAAGGGAAATAAGAATACATAAAATGATGCTGGTTACAGATATCAGAAACTGACAGGTATGTAGGAAGCAACGGACTCTCACAATTTCATTACCATACCAATTACCCTGTTAAAACACACCAACATAGTGGTAGTGTTTTCAGGTAGGGAGTTAAGATGTACCATGGTTGCCCGACGGTAAATGTGTATAAATTTACGAGTAAGTGCAAGTGAAGGAAATTAAGTTTTACCAAGCGTGAAACCCTAATTGGCTAAACCCAATCAATGGGACCCAGAAATTTATGTTTCAAAAAAGAGGTACACAAGTCAACTTTTCTGATAACAATGAGAGTTGACAGAAACGTAAGCTGTGAAAGTTCAGGCATCTGCTGCTTACGACGATGAAATCGAGCAAAGAAAACCAATTTTGCAGTAAAAGCATAACCGATTAAAAGTCTTTTGAAATAGTACTGATCACCCTGAACAGAGTTTCGTCTAGAAATTAAGCCAACCTCAAAAAAAAAAAAAAAAAAAAAAATGAACAGTGAAAAAGCAGCTAAATTAAGCCAGAAAGAAGAAGTACCCCAGACATTTTTTTTTATTGTTGCAAAGACCCCCGAGATTAGAGGTTCAGGAAAGAAGGAAAAACGCAGCTCTGCACGTTTTGCCTCCTCTTTTGTCTTCTCTGTACAGGTTTTTTTTTTTTTTTAACCTTCCCCATTCAGCCGGTACGACGACGGATTACGAGCGCTTCTTGAGGCGCACCAGAGAAGACGAGCGCCCCACTCTTTTCGAGAAAAGCACAAATAACGTGAGAACGACAAAAGAAAAAAAAAAAAAAAAAAGACTCGACGACAACAACGCAAGAAAGATGAGCGAATGAACGACCTAGAATGCGCCGGCTCCGTTTCCGAGACGCTTAAAGACGTTGCGTGGGGCGGCGGCGCTTCCGCTGATGCCGGAGCGACCCAGCGCCGCCCGGGCCGAAGTCGGCACCAGTCTGGCGGTCTGTCGGGTGGTTGCCACCATTGTGGGCCTTGCCACGGTCCTGACCGGCGCCACGCCGGTTCTTGCGGACCTCGTTTGCGGTCCGATGCGGTAACGGACCCCGGCGGCCTGTGCGGAACCTGCGTTGGTCGAGTCCGGCGGTGCGCCTTGTCAACGCCAGTGATCCGTGCTCGCAAGCAACGGCAGCTACTGTCGCAAATCTGCAACTCGCAGATTATTGAAAATAGTCAAATAAAGAAAAAAAAAAAGCAGTTGTAAATATTATCTACACTCGGAAACTTTCTCTAGTTAAATATCGTAAACTGGTGTTATAAGGCACATCCAAAGGTGGGGGCAATTTGTCTTCTCTGAAAGCACAGATGTTCACTCATTATTACCTAAACTAAGAGTCAATAGGGATACGGATTAAGCTAAGTTCAGAAACTTCTTCCAGCTAAATATGGTAAACTGGTGTTATGAAACACATCCGAAGTTGTGGACAATTTGTATTCTTTGAAAGCACTGATGCTTACTCGTTATTAGCCTACCAGTCAATGCAGAGCGCAAGTTGGTGTGCTTCTTGCACAGGGGTTGCTTTCACGTCAGAATGTCGATCTCTGATTGGCTCTGATTGAAGGACAGTGGGTAGATCTCAAGGCAGCTAGCACTGAGGTTTACCCACTATTCTTCCAACAGAGCCAATCGGAGCTCCGCGTTCCAACATCACTGCAACCCTTGCTCAAGACGCAGACAAAACTTGAGCTCCACATAGGGACACCAACTATGTCTGCCAAAACCAATGACGTCTGCATCTATGCTCCGCCGTTACAAGGCGGTCGAAGTGTGCGCGAACAAGGAAGACCCCTCCCTCTAGATTTTTTATACGGGCTCAACGGGTACGAGGTGCTGTTTCACCCGGAGTCGAGGAGAAGCGTGGCCCCATCCTGGAGTCCGAGGCCGCGTCCGAGAGCGACTTGCGGAGCATCAGGCCCCCGGGACAGCCCACGGCCGACTGAAGCCTCTGGCCGCGCGTCGCAGCGGGCGACGGCGCTATCACCTGCCGCCTGGACGCCGGGCGGCTGTCAGGTCCTGTGGGCAAAGTGGGAGACCCCTCATTACTCGGGAACCCGCAGAAGCTAGAGCCGCCGTATATGGCAGCTTGAAGGCTCGTTCACACACTTGCATTCACTTAAGACCGAGTTCTCACAACGCTTCGCAACAAGGGAAGACGTTAGGCACGGTGGCGCCATCTACGAGGTGACTCTGGAACTGCATTTCGCCAGAGCGAAGGTTTTGCAGCATTTGCAAGAGCAAATGTACAGACCATCTAAAAGAAATGGTAATTCGTAATTTCATCAAAGGTTTTTCGAGCTAATGAAGAAAGACTGATGTGGAAACAAAATTGGAAATGTGCGGGAATTGCGGGTGTTCCACGGCTACCCAATAAACAATGCCAGTGTGTTCTCTTGTCGTAAGAGACCACAAGGGCTTGTGAGGCGTTCAATCGTAAGCAGTCACAAGTGTGTGAACAAGCCTCGAAGCTTCCATAGAAAGTGAATCATGCGTGACCATCCTTTACGGTTTCCAACGCATCCAAAATAAGCATTTTTGTGGAACGCCATAAAACGCTGCGTGTGCCTTACGTCATTGTAACGGGAGTACATTTAGTAGTTTTCAATGGTGCCCAGCAAGTTTCTAGTTGAAACTGTGCCTTTAAAATGAATAATTACACAACTGCAAAATTGCTGCGATGGACAGCGGTAGGTGCTACGCTGTGGAAAGGCACGTTGAAGGAGACTTGCCTTCAGCCAGTGTGCTGTACAACGTTTTGAGGGAGCCTGTCGCCACAGCGTGACCACGTGAGTATTTTGCAATGGCAACAGCTGGAGGTGCGGGGCGGGGAAGGAGAGGGGAGAGCTCTCCCCGTGATCTTGTGGATTTTTCGGAACAGTGGCGGATTACCGGGGGGGAAGGGGGGGGGGGGGGGGGAAGGGCGGGAGTGGACTTTGCCACAGTTGGCGTGTGCGCATCACTTGTTCGTGACGTTTGCTGCGACAATCCCTATGACGATCACTATGACGCTCGTTCATGAGAGTCTTCTCGTATAGAACGACCCATGAAACACATTTTCTGTCAATACATATACATGATCAAGCAAGGGCCGTGCAGGGTTTCTAGGAAAAGCAATCGCTTTCCCTTTAACTCTTTGGGGTCGTCTGTCGGGTATCTCCCAACAAATAAATACTCCTGTTCCGGACAAGCACCGGGCTGCCCCAATGGGCCCATCTCTCTTTTGCAGTCAAGCGTCGGGTGCCTCCCGACAATTTCAACTTGCGCCATCTCTTATCGGGTATGTAAACTGGTACGCATACTTAGCTTTTGTGCCTTCAACAAATGCCGTAAAAAACACTTTTTTTTTTTTTGCTACATGCACAGAGGGCATTTTGCGCACGCTTTTGGGCGTTTAATATGGCAGCCTTTACTTTCTCCACGTTTAACAAACGGCGCGGTCGGGAGACTGTGCAGTTTGCAGTGACAGGAAAGTTAAAAGGCAGAGAAACGAATATGGTTTCCACTGTAAAACCCGGCATTTGCAAAGCAAATGCCAGTATGTACATTACGCAAATACCGATAATATAATTCAACAATTCAAATGAAAACATTCTGGACAATGCAGAGTCATTTCAAACTGAACATAATGATCGTCGTATATTAAAGAGTTAAATCTGGAGTCACTCGTTGACTCTATTCTTTTTTTGCTTATATTCATTCTGACCAGAGGGGGCCTACAAGTGGAAAACTCACATGTCCCCAAAGGGTTAAGAGGGCTTCCAATATAGGGACAGGGAGGCAGCGGGCCACTCACCTCCGGTGAGCTTGATGACCCTGCCGGCACTGGGTGGCGGCGACCGTGCCGCCGCCTCGGCGGCCAGTGCCAACACGCCGTGGAAGGCCGGGGGCAGGCCCTTCCTGCCGAGGCTCGTCGACCGGACCTCCTCTGTGCTGGGCCCCAGGCGCCCGAACACCGAGCTGCCCGTGGCAACCGCCTGCACGACGTCCGAGAGACACGCTCGTCAAGCCCCAAGGCCAGTTCCCACACTCACGTTTCTCAGACCGTGTCTCAGAACGTACATCCATTTGATATCCCAAGTATTACAAAACCTTCGCTCCAGTGGAACGGAGTTGCAGAGTCACCTCTTAGATGACTCGCTTCCATGTAGACGCTAGCGCATGGACGGGCCTTTGACAAAGCACCCAAGTTTATGTACTACCGTAAAATACCAGGTAAGCGTCCACTCAAGATTTAGAGATAATCACGAAAAAATAGGGGATGGGCGCTTCTCCGGTCATCAATTTTACATATCAATGTACTCTGCAAATTTCCTCAGACCTTACGGATCTGGGAATGAGCGCTTAGTGTGGAATGGGCGGATGCACGGTATTCTATAGTAGAGAAGAAGTCCTGATATAGCAGAACTAGCTATAATAAAACCAATATAAAAATATATACTTTTGTACTTTTGCGCGTAGGCACTTTAAAAGCCTTATCGGTGTCACAACTTTTCCATCATCTTGCCCCACTGTAAGACTCAACTTTCTCCAAAATTAAACTCGTTACACAGGCTGTTTCAACCGTCGTTTGTCCGACGGTAGTTAACGGCCCCAACTGCAACTAGACTAGGGGACTGCGCAAGCCGCAACTCCTAGTCCCGGTCCCAGGAAGGGTGCCCCGTGAAAAACGCGACGAAGCGGTGGCCGTTAGAGGGAACCCTACCTTCGAGGGTGCGAGGTCGGTGGTGCTGCTCACGGCGCTGTCTCCCAGACGGGCAAACACCGAACGCTTTCCGGTGGCGACGCCCAAGGACGCTGTGGAGAAAGATCGTAAACAGAGAAGGGCATTGGTCTCAAGCTTCCTAGAGTGCGTTCGAGGCAGTGTTAACATCCTTAATGTCGCCTCTGAAGTGGCAAACGCCAGACAGCGCAAGACGGCGAGGAGACAACCGCCCGAAAAGTAGAAAGAACTGGAAAAGCTGGCATAACTCGGAAGTGGCCCAATTGCTCAACTCGTATTTGTACACATTTTCGCGCAACCTGGCTGGCACGCTTTTCGACAGCTGTACTGGACACATCCATAACTGACTTTCAGTTTGGTTCTTTTTGATTTGATTGCCTCATTTCTATGCATGTCTTGTTATCCCCAACGGAAGATATGTCACGGTTCGTTATATCCACTTTAGTGACTCGGGGCTGGTGGGAAACAGGAACGTCAATGATGGTCATACCCACACGACGCACGTTGAAAGCATCTCTAACCAAAGGCCACAAACATTACAGGCTAAGGAAACAACCTGAAAGGCTACAAAAAAAAACCCAAAAGGTTACAGAAATGACCCTAAGGGCTACATAAGTGACCCTAAAGGCTACAGACACAGCTCTAAGAGTTATACCTCGTCAGACGGGCATTTAAAAGGACCTTTATGCCAAAAGCCTTTAGGATTTTCAAATGGCCTTAACGTTCTGCAGAGCTATACCTCTGTCAGACGGGCATTTAAAAGGACCTTTACACCAAAAGCCTTTAGGATTTTCAAATGACCTTTACGTTGTGCCGTGCCAGACAGCGCAAGTAAATGCCATTTAGACAATGTTTACAGCGATTGAAGTCTCGTAGCTCGGTTCAGACGCATAAATCATGTTCACCCCAGAAATATATTATTTTGGCAATATAAATAATTTTTGAAGTTTTTGCTAAGCAAACAACATATTAAAAATGACAAAATGACGACTTCAGTCAAGTTATTACAACGAAGCCCCCTTTAAGCCCAAGCAAAGTGGTTTTTTTGGCAATTAGCGGCAACTCTGGGCGTCTCCTACCCACTTATTCCTAATATTGCTCAGTGCTCCTACTCCTTTCCGAGCTTCTGCTACGCTTTTGCCCTGTTCAATTCGGCGTCGTGCTCGCGCTTGAGGTTCATCATACGTGTCGGGGGTCCTCTAACTGATCCTCCCAAAGTCGTATCAGCGCCCAGGTCGCCTCAACGCTCCAATGGAAGTGCGGCGACCCCTTCTCACTCGTGGACGTTCCGCCGTCGTTCGGCATATCACACGACGCGGGAGTGAGATGCAGAAATATATATGTACAAAAAAACAGTAATTATATAGGTACGGATAGTAATACACTATTAAAGGATGATAAAATATAAACTAGAGAAATAAAAGCTAGATAACTATGGTTGTAAGGAAAATAGAGAGGAGGAAAACCAAAGTGCTGAAGCGGACGACGCGAGCAGGCGATGACGAGGTCTACTAGATAGCTGTGGCCGTGGGTACAAAAAACTATTAGTAGAGCAAGGTTTGTACAGAATATATCTGAAACATGCTCTTTTTCAATAAGGAAAATGCAAAGGCATTGATTTTAGATAACGGTACGATATCTTATTGCAATTCGCTTCTCTAGTGTAGACAGCCGCTGACGAGAGTACGCCTTTAGCAGCCGTAAAAAAGTTGCAGGAACTCAGGCTCACGAAAAAGACCTTTACGCTGAATTCCATTTGAGTTGCCGTGTGGCACTGCCTAAATGACATTTATATTAAGGGTCCTTTGGTGTAAAGGTCCTTTTAGTTGCCCGTCTGACACGGGTATTACCGAAACAACCCTAAAGATTACAGAAACAACCCTCAAACACTCAAATACACTACTCCTAAAACACAATAATAAATAAAGGCGATAATGAAAACAGACAAAACCCACCCTGTGCCTTCTCGAGCAGCTGCTGGGCCCTTGGCCCCGACGGCAAGTGTACCTTGAGGGTGGGGCCCTCCGTGGGGGGCGCCACGGGCGCCGGAGCCACCACGGGGGCCACCCTGGACGCCGCCACCCGCGGCGTCCAAGGTGGTTCCCGCGGAGGTGCCGCCACCCCCCACCCGGCACCCCTCTGCTGCTTGGCAACGCTGGCGACAGGTTCCTCCACCGAGCGGCGCTTGGCCACCGGACGCACCACGGCGCCCCCGGAGTCGTCTGCAAGCGCGCAGTGCCGGACAAGGAAGCAGACGACAATAAAGGCCGGTTCACACATGCATTTCAGCGCTGATATCATAAAACATTAGCGCTGAATCAGCGCTACAGTCAGCGAGCACTGCTGACTCAGCACCGGGGTAGCACTGCATTGCGTGTGCATGCAGGAAAAGGCAAAGTCATATGCAGAGGAGCGCTGATACACCCCTGGCATCGCCCAAACTCAGCCCTGTGTCTTTAGCACCTTGGCGTATCTGTGAAGAGGCCTTGCAGGCCTGTTGATGCATACACCACGACGCTACCTCGACGCTATTGGTCAGTGCTGGAAACAGTACTGACTTTACAGATGCAGCAGACTTTATGCTCCATTAGCAATACAACAGTGATACCGCATTAGGTTACGTTCAAGTCAGCACTGAATCAGTGCTGTACCTAGTGTTGATTTAGTGCTGCAGTCCACTGAGGAACAGGGCTTAAAGGGATCATAAAACGATTTCCTCGCTCGAGCTAACTGGTGCAAAGCCCTAATAAGTCAATCACATTTCCAAGCAACGCTGCTCGCTAAACATATTGAAGACGCCTCAATTGCAGCCTTTTCATTTACGTACAAGCGACAGTAGCAGACGACAAATGAATGTATCTGCAAACAGGCAATACCATAGCTTGTCCCACTTTATGTGCGAGCGCAGCCGAACCTAGTGGCACGAGCGTGTCCCACCAAACAATGCTTGCACTGCACGAGCACGCATTCTCGGCAGGGACGCTGACAGTCCATAGCTCGTTCTTGTGGCTTCCGCTACACTTGAGCTTAAAGTGAAACGGACTATAGTGCAAAAGGTTGCTGGAGCAGCCAGAGTGGGGCTTAGTGCCTGTTGCACCGGCAGAACTGGGCAACAAAGAGACTTCACAGACCGGTCGCGGCCTAGAGAAGGACCCCACCTGTCTGGTCCCGGGGGTCCTGGAAGCTGACCCTTGCGGTGGGGACCTGTGGCTTGTCCAGCACTTTCCGGGTGTACCGGCTGGGGATGCCCACTGCTGCAACGAAACGCGGGAGACCACAACCGGGCTCACAGGAGCTGCCACCGTGAGTCCCACACATTTTGGGGTCCACCAAGCAACGTCTTGACTTTGTGGCTTTGTATCAGAGAGAGGCTTTCCACAAACCCAGTGGAAATAACGTGCCAGTACACTGTAAAAGTTTAACAACTTTTTACAAAAATTATGAATTAGAGTTGAATTAATATTTTTTTTTTTTCTGAATGTTGTAAAAGTGGCATTTTTGCTAACCTTGTCACGCTTGTTTTTATTTCAAAATAATACTAATAATCATATTGAATAATACTAATAAGCAATAGCAAATACTTTAGTGGCTTAAGAACATGCAAATGTGGAAGGCTTTGCCACTCACCCAACTTAGTGGCAGTGGATGCACTGTTCATCACCTTCTCTTGAGCCTCCTGAGATGGCAGAAACAAGGCAACTGAGTTAAGAAGCACACAAGACATGGAGGGACATCATCATCATCATCATCATCAACACCATTTCTGAGGCACTGGTTCGGTGACACCAGACAAGCAATATGTACCCTCAAAACACAGAGGCACCGGAAGCTGGTATGAAGAATTAGGAAAAGCAAACCTCTTAAAGTGCCTCCAAGTGGCAGCCAACCTTTCTCCAAGACAATCCAAGACAATCTAACTCCCAAAGAACCCCTTTGGGTCCAGGCATTGATGTAATAGAGCAGTACATAAATAAATCTATGTACATCCTAAGCAATAATGCACATAATAGAGGGTGTCTGACGCAGAGTAATACATTGATGAGTGGCTCAGACCTCGTAAAATAGTGCCTAAAGTCGAAAAACGCTTTCATACGTGCAGGGACGACCAAGGAAAGCAGAAGCTCAAAGAACCTTTTGAGGGTACACAAGGGAGTCTCCGTGTTCCAAGAACCAAGTTAGAAACCCTATGCCCTAAAAAAAAGAAAACAGCTCCTGGCAGGACTTGAGAAGCTAAACCTCTTAGCAATAAGTCAACTGCCACTGTGTAGCCTCCAGACTGGTACACAAGTGCCTCAAAAAACGGCTTCATTCGGGCACAACCGGGAGTCTTCTCCTCAAGTACCTTCACGGACATAACGCGCCGAAACACCCGGCCCTTTTTTGCATCTGCGGTCCCCACGAGCTCTACTATCTCTCAATTTGTCGAACGGTCCGAAATACGGGACCTCAACTAGCAGGAACGCCAAAGAAGTACAAAGGACTCTTTCAGCTCCTATTGTCTGCGACAGTATGTACGCCTTTGCCCAGAATCGCCGGGAGAAGGTAAAAAGAACTGGCAGGGTCACCTGTGTGTGCACGTGTTTGGCGTGCTTGAGGATGGCGATGACGTCCCCCATGGCGTGGATGCCCATGTCGAACAGGTACTCCTTGGTGAGGTCCAGCAGCATGCCGCGTTGGATGCGGTTCTCGGAGAAGATGACCGCGTAGCGAACGCACACGTCCGAGGGGAGGCCCGACCCCGTGAAGAACTGCACCCACTGGGACGTGCCTGGTGGAGGCACCATTGCCAAGCGTCGTCACACATTGTTCCAGAGAGATGCCTCACAAGCCAAGCCAAGCCTAAGTCGAAACTAAAATACAAGATGTCGGAAAGTGGGAATCTGCTGGGGAACGTTCAACAGAAGGTTCGTTGGTCACAGAGAATCCTCTTCAGAACAAAGCATATTTTCGCTTACTCAGAAAAAAAAAAGTACCACCTCAAGCAATTTTTTTTGTCATTTTTTTTAAAGATTTGTTTGATTGGTTAATTGTTATTGTTATACTGGGTGTATGGGAAAAAAGTGAAACATGTTTTCCTGCTCACAAAAATAAACATCTGTCGTCCAACACTCAGTTTTTGTCCAAACTAGTGGTTGCAAGCAGGTGCCTAAGTTTCGGAGCTTACCATAATTCGCTCAAAAGTTCCAGGCAATTTTCAAAAATTTTCAAATAGGAAATGGCGGTTGACAGCTCCCGCAAATACAAGGAGACGAATGACATCTGCTACCAAAAATAGGCCCCATCTTCTCAATCAAAATTTCCAAAAATTGCTTATAGACCAACTCATGTTTACAAACAACCGGAGCGCCACTAGCAGACGCCGCCGGCGCCGCGCATGCACTATGGAAATTGGACAAGAAGCTCGCCGTCGTCCATAAACAAACCATTGGAATACAATGTTGTTGGCGTCGGTGTGAGTCCCCGTGCTCTTTTTCGTGTTGCAGTTGTTGATTTTACATCTTCCTGAAAACGTCTGATTACTTTGGCGGCCTCAGCGAAATGAACGAGGCTCGTCACACCACAAAACTTAGCGTGAATGATGTGACATGCGGCGATTCATTCCGCGTGGACGCTGCAGAATGCACGCTGAAGCCTGATTCGCATGATGAGGTTCTGCTCGTTATTCTGCAAAAGCGTGAACCGTACCTGAGATGTTGACGTCGATACTGAAAATCGCAAACAGGATCAGACCAAGTGAATCAGGCGTAACAAGTCAGTGTTGGCCACTGGTAATGATGATCAACATCCCATATCTTCTGTTTACACCGAGCCTACTTACCCCAACCAAACCTTCCAAGTTACACGTCTTTTGAGGCCTGCACCTACTTCTTATAGCAATTACAGGGTCAATGTTTGGTCTACGGGCCACTGTTTGAGCGAGCAGATGACAGCTCAAATGAGCAGGCAGCCGTTTGAACCTGATGATGCACTGAACATAGTCCGCAGGTGGTCCATACAACTTGGCGGTTTTCCCCACGTTCACGTTGGAACAAAAATAAATCTGAAGACCACACGTATTCGTGAATTCCACCCAAAGTGCTTCCCGCACAAGCAATCATGGTCCGAAAGCGTCTGCTTTTTCTTTTTCATGACCAATATCCATGTTTTTGGACGAACCGAGCAGGCAGAGAACACATGAAAACTGACCTTCAAACGTTTCCTGACTCTTTTGGTACAGTCCCAGTTGCGGCAATTTGATGAGGGGGCAGGTTTTTGTCTGCTTTCTTCCAAAACAACAGAGGAATGCATGCGGCATCTGGTTGCACTTTTGGTTGGTTTCACGGATACTTCTGGTAGTCAGATTTATTTGTTTTGTTCCAACATGAATGCGGAAAAAACGCCAAGTTGCCCGGACCACCCATGATGTTTAGAGCGTCTTCAAGTACAAACAGTCGCCTGATCGTTCAAACTGTCCTCTGCTCTTTCGAACTTGCCTCTTTGTTGTCGTATGCTCGTTCAAATCTAGCGGTCTGTGGACCAAACATTAACCGGGGAATAGCGATAAGTAAGTGCAGGTCTCAAAATATTGTAAGTTTAAAGGTTGTTTGGGTTAAGCATAAACTCCGTGTAAACAGTAGATACAAGGAGATGTTGATCATTGTTACCAGTGGCCATCACCAACTTGTCATGCCTAATTCACTTGGTCCGATTCTGCTCGCGATTTTCAGTATCGACGTCAACCATCTCGGCTACGGTTCACGCTTTTGCAGCCCGAGCGGCGTCGCGACTGAAAATTGCGAGCGAAATCTTATCATGCGAATCAGGTTTTAGCGTACATACTGCGGCGTCCACGCGGAATGTCTTACCACTAAAGTGGTAAGACATTGCTAGGAAGACATAGAATCAACAATTTGAATGTGAAAAAGTGCTGAGAGACACACTGACGCTGACGTGACATTCCAATGGTTTGCTCACGTAGGACACAGCACTTCTTGCCCACACTCAATCACGCAAGCGCGGTACCGGACGCGGCTGCTGGGGGTGTTTGGGTTTGTTTGTAAAGATGAGCTAGTGATTACAAGTTTGCGAGTATGGCCTAAGGGAGCCGCCATCTTGCCCAATTGGGGTGCACTTAGGCACGTCATAATCCGATTATTATGCCTTGCTAAGTCGTCGTAATTGGATTATGACGCGCTAAAGCGCACCCCACTGGGCAAGATGGTGGCGCTTTGAGGTCGTACTTGCAAACATGTGCACTCCCTTTAACTTTAAGCGAAAATGTAGCAGGAACTACAAGAGTGAGCTTTGGGCTTTTAGCATTCTTGCCGAGCATGCGCGCCGCTTCAGTGCAAGCACTGTCTAGGGCAACATACTAATGCTTGTAGTTTTGGCTTTGCTCGCACATAGATTGACACGAACTATGGTCCCATGAGAAAATGACTGATGATCGACCTGTTTTTACCTGCTGTTACCTTGCTAAGATTTTTTTTACATTTTTATTTTATATTTTTGATACGAGAGCGAGTTGATGTTTGAAGTCTTACGAGTAATAACTGAAACAGTACAGCGCTACGAACTTTAGAATATCTAGTGATCCACTTGGATGGTCAGAAGACGTTGTACACAACAGCAACAGAGCGGTTTTGCTGTAGCACGGGTCGAGGTACTAACAACAAACAAAAAAACAAAAAAGAAAAAAAAAGCTTGTGAGAAGTGCAACAGGACACGTGAAGTTTTTCAGCGCGTTAGCTAACACACGTAGCGATTTCGGTGGAACAGTGAACACGTATGTTTCAACGCACCACAAGACTCGCATCTGCATGACTGAAACGGTTTGTGCAGCTTTCAACATCCTCGCTGATTTAAAAGACAGATCGAGTTTCAATTTGTCGTCATGCGCTGACGTCGTCGACGATCTCTAAAGCTCGCGAGCATGAGACGCGAATTCAGACGCCTGATCGCAGTTCAGAATTCAGAACTGTGCAAAGGTAGGGAATGGGACACCACGTTGCTCTTAATACGCCGTTCAACGGTGTGTGCCCCAAGCAAAGGAAGCCTATTTTTGGGGTCACTTTGTTCCTTGCTCCTAACTTACTCATTTGATCTGTGGTGGCCATTGCTGACGCGTTGACAGTGCGGCGAAGTTATTCAGTTCCGTACACCATTGTACGGAAGGGACACGATGTATCAAATCTTCATGCCGCTAGAACTTTGAGATATACAGTCAAAACTCCGAACCACGCACAGACACGTTAATGTCAAGCACACAAAACGAGAAGAAAAAAAAAAATGAGAAAAATAAGCCGGCCATGCGCCAATGTTGTTGAACGATACCGGTTTTTCAAGGAACGGTGCTAAACACGGCGGCCACCCCGGCTCTATATTTCAGTTCAATGTTTTTTATGCATCTTTGTTTTAACTGTTTCGCCCACGTTATATCACACGAATGTAATACCTTAATTAAGAAAATAAAACACAACGCCAGCTTGCAAACACAACGCCTTCACCTAAACTGAACCTTGATAGGTTTCAGAATGGTTTCGGCTTTGCGCTTTCAGCGTGGTTCAGCGATTCTTAACACAATTAAATAAACTAATAAAAAAAAAGTTTTCAGAAATTAGTTAGGCATAATCTAATTTAGTTACAGACCCCTTTGTTTGCACCACGCCGTTAAAAATGGACAACTAAAAACGATCGATAGATCAAAATACAGCCATACAGCTGCCAAGCATCTTGTCCAGTTTCAGCTAGTTCAACCCTGGAAACAGGGCAATGAACTGGTGTGCCTTTAGAAAGGCCTTTCTGTGGCGCCGCGGCTTTCCTGTGCTGAAATAATATATCAATATAAAAAGTTTCAACTCTTGAACCAAGTCGATACCCATACCGAATATACAGCAGTCAGACTTGCAATACGCAGACTTTTCCTTGGGCAACAACTAAGTATGTACTACTAACAAATGCAACAAGCCATCTAATAAAAGCCGCCAGCTTGCGAGTATTGGGGCAGTGTAGTAGGAGGGGCTGAAACAAAATAAAAGTCGTACAGGATACCTTTTATTTCAGAATAAAACTGACAATCATACCAATAGTACCATTATTGAGGCAGATATTGCCATTAGACGAACACCATACACTCACATGCAAAAAAGTTCCGCTCAGGAATAGGTTTGTACTCCAGAGTAAAAGTGAGCAGCAAAAATGGCAAACATGCAAATGTCAACCATACGAAAAAAAAAAAAAAAAAAGATCTTGCCACAACTTAAGGCTACCCCAAGGTGCCAAGTTAACCGTGCACTCATTGTGTTCTTTATAAAATGCTAAAATGGTAAAGTATTAGCAAAGCTGCTCGTGGCTTCCTTGAGATGCTTGGGCTAAAAGAAAGTCCACTTACAATACTGATGTCAGCCCCCAGTTCCGAGTGGAATACTCATAATCTTTGCAGAAATACCATAGCTGCCCGTTATATTCGTTGCCTGCTTAGCAGCACGGTGGTACAGTCCCTCTTGTAGCCAACTACGCCACTGGAAGCATTTTTCTTTCTAGGCTGTGCTGTCAAAAACTTAATGAACACCATATAAAATGACCGCCACACAAACAGGCCACCACATGCTGATGCGGCTCCATGACAGTGATACGGTAAATACAATCACTTCCATAAATTTTCAGAAAGAAAATATTAATCTTTTTAAGCTTGGCCATAGGCAATAACACAGAAGTGCAACGCATCATTTTGATCAGAAATAGAGGCTGCAAAAAAGCAGACTGCAAGAATAGCAAGCACGCAACTTCATTGATGCAAGCAAACAAAAGCCCCTCCTTCCCCGATAATGTTACTGAACTGCCAAGCTTGGAATGCTCATGAAAGAATGCTCAATGATGTGTCAATGTCTCGCCGGGCATGCACGCCCGGGAACAATGACAGTATTGCAGGCAACAGCCTTCACAAAAAACCCGTGGAGGTTAGTCACTCAACTGAAAGTTTCCCGTCGTGTACAAACATGTTTTGAAAGGCTGCCATTTTGAAATTTTCACGTAAGAATAGGATCGCTCGGGCACAACTAATATGCACAACCTTTTGTAAAGGTCAGCAGCCGTTTGGAGGTCCATTCCCTCTCAGCTGTTGCCACTGTGGTGCAGACTAAAGTAGAAGTTTGGGCTAGTTGGTATTTCATGATTAAACATGCTTAAACATGGGAGTAACCACTTCGCAAGTGCAATGTTTGCAGTTACTCTTATAATCAGTAGGCGGTTAATTGTCACCAATTCTTCCTGTGAAATGTGCCAAACAGGGTATAATACTGTCCGCAAGTTCCCCTTGAAAAACTTGGGCAAATACAGAAAGCGAGCCCAGTGGTCAAAAAACCGCAAAACGTAATGCTGTTGAAAAATGCAAGAGTGCAGACAAAAAAAACCTTCTGCGATGTCTTAGCAAAGGAATGATCGAAGCGGCGGTGCAAATGTCACGGCAAAGATTCCAAGACATTCGGCCAAGCAAGCACTCTGCTTACTGAAATAAAAGAATTTCAAATCCGTAATGGAAAGGGCAACTACTACCACGACAGAGAAGTCTGTCTAGAAATGGCAAGACGAGGACCCGAGCCCATGCTGGAAGCCAGCTCCCGTGCTTCGTACGCCCAGCAAAAGGGGGCATCGAAATGACGCGCCTTGCTCGAGCTCACCGCTACAGAATAAAAGATCCTCTGGGACTTTTAGAGGCCCTCAAACCAGCTGCTCTCGACAGGTCCATAGTTTGTTCCACCCCTGAGACAACACCTTTTACCTAGCTCACTTCCCTGGGAGACGCGCACCACATGGCTCGAAGAATGATACCCCTTGTCGGGACTAGCATGTGTACCTCGAAATTTGTCGAAGGTTGCTGGCTGCCTCGGATTGACGCCTCCGCTCGTGGAATGAAAAGCAGACGACAAAGTCGCGCTTGCCGTTCTTCGGCCAAAGAATGTCGCCTCCGTTCTTGCTCTCACGGGCATTGTGTTGGGAGTCTCGAAACCATCGCTAGCAAGTGTCCATGAATAACGGCTATCAACTTTTGAAAGTCCCAACTCTGTAAGCTAGTATTTGCGAGTAGAGGGGTAACGGTGGACCAAACAAACGTCAAAAGATAGAGGTAGCCCCAGGTTAACCACCAGAGCCACTGACGGCACGACGATGGCGAGGCGTCTCTGTTGGATACCTGGCCTTTGGCACACGCTTGCTGCCTTCCATCGTGGTCTGACAGGTGCATGCACACTTGTAACTTACGAGACGGCAGAGTGCCATCGAAGCTTGAAAGACCTCCCCGCCATTCTCACCCCATCAGTAACTAAAGAGCTTGTTTTTTTAAAGGCTTTTTTTCGTGGATCTACCCGCCTTGATACACCAGCTCTTTTGCCACAACTCGCCCCAATCAATAATACTCAAAACTGAACGCTTCAACATAGGATAGGAGAGAAAAAGTCCGCCAGCACACATCCCGGCAAGAGTCTCCACTCGCATAACGGCGTCCCTTTCACTTTCACAGATCGACGAAGTGTTCGCTCAACCTCGGCCGCGCGTCCTCGTGGATCGACAGACACGTCATCAAAGCACGAGCTCCTCGCCGTTCCCGACCTCTTCGGCGACCACTCCGTTCAGCTTGTCCTCTTCAGAATCCTCGAACGATCCTTCCTCCTTCTCTTCCAGCTCACGCGCATCCTCGCGAAGCGGAACCTCCTTCTCTTCTTCAACTTCTTCCTCCTCTTCTTCTTCTTCCTCATCCCCTAAAATGTCGCCGTTGACCCTCACGACCGACGCGTGGTGGTTCTCGTAAGCGACGCCGTTCGAGGGAGCAGACAACGACGCGTCCGCTATGCGCTCCACGAACTCTGGGTCCATGGCACGCAGGCGCTCCAGGAAGGCAGCCTTGTCCTCGTCGCTCCAGCCCTGGAACCACTCCTCGAAGAGGGTCATGCGGCACTGGAAGAGTGAGGGCGCCCTCTGCTGCCCCAGAGAGAGCTCGTCCAGCAGCCCCGAGAGGCCCGCGTTGTGGACGTACTTGCGCGCCAGGACGCGCAGGAAGTCGTCGCGCTGGAGCTCGCTGTACTCGCCAAACCAGCTCACGAGGTAGGCGGCCTGCTCCGCCGCACTGCACGCGGGTCCCTTCTGGCTCAGCATCTGCAGCGACAACGGTCACGTCGCAACTGAAAACTCCCTACATTGGTGACGATGAAGAGCTGTTTACATATACAGCACAGTGCCACCGGCGCTATTAGTCAGTTCTGAAAATAGCGCCGATCTTGCTCATGCAGCACTGACTTTGCACTATGCAGAGCGCGATTTCGTCTGCTTTTTGTGCAGGGGTGGAGGTGACGTCGGAATGCCGAGCTCCGATTGGACGGATAGTGGGTACACCTCAAGGCAGTTTGTATCGAGGTCTACCCGCTATTCTGCGATCAGAGTCAATTAGAGCTCGATGTTCTGACGTCTCCGCAATCCCTGCGCCAGGAGCAGACGAAACTCGCACTCCGGGGTCGTACAGCGCGGCATCAGTGCCGAGTTACTTTCAAGTCAGCGCCGTTTCTAGTGGCGATTTAGTGCTGCGCTGTATGTCCGAATTGGGCTGGACGATGATACAATAACGCCATCTTTGAACTCGGACGTTTTGAGGCAGAGTAGTACGAAAGATAGTCTGGCGATTAATCTAGTGCGTTGCAGCTTCAGAATAGCGGGACAAGCTCTTCCCACAAACACCTCCACCCCTTCTGCTTTAGCAGAGCAAATGACGGAGAGAAGGCAAGTGGAGAGGAGAAAACTAGCAATTGTGGTAAGCAGAAAGCTTTGTGGAAGGGGCTTGTCTTGCTATGCTTAACCTGCAACAGGCTATGGTGACAATGACATGAATATGATAGAAGCTTCTCTAAAGTTGGATGGCTCACAGCACAGCCGTATACCGAGAGTGGGTTTGCACGCTAACTCGGGTGACTGACATGAAAAGGAAGGAAGGAAAGAAATGGACCTTTTCCGAGAAGCGTTCTGCGCACGCGCGAGCGCCTGATGCCAAGCGGCGGAAGTCGGAACGAAAAATCAAGGAAATTCGGAAGGAGGCTGTATATCAGTGAGTAGAACACGTAACTGCAGCATATATATAATTGTGTTACACAAAAAAAGAATGCCGACGGAAAGGAAAACACAACGTTTTGGTGGACGCCACAGATGCTCCTCTTTAAAGTCGCGTTGGGCAGGCGCTGCTGCTCAGAGAGTGAAGAAACTGGTAGCGTAGCTCCCATTATCGATTGGTAGCGCAGGTAGGTCACTTCCTCGATTTTTAGTTTGTGCAGCCACCGCCTGGTGCCGTCGGTATGTGAAAAAGGTCCATTGGTCAGATGGAGAGTGGCCGCCTTCAACAGGAATGTCTTCTGGCCAACTAAAAGCTTTGGCAGTGTGCAAAAATCGGTAATTACGTTAGTTTACTTAGTTCAAATGTCGCAGGAGTCAAAGGTGAAAACCCTCGATGACCGAGAAAAGGAGATTCGTGGGCGTACATTCAACGAGGGGACGGACTACAGCTTGAGGCTGCCAACCTCCGAAACGAGTCAGCTTAAGGCATCCTCTTTTGTGCAGTTTTGTAACGTCCGACTCCACGTTTCCTCAATCCGGTTGCAGGTGCAAATAATGAAAGGCCAAGATTACATTCAGTTCACACTACGACCACGAGCAAGCTCTAGTGGCAGCGCCGTAGCTGCTGTGACCATGCCCTCGCTGCTCCCACTGACCAAACTCTCTCCAAGTGCAGCCCTGCCTTGCAGAAGGAGACGGCTTGACGCACCCCCACCCACCTCGGCCGCGTGTACGGTTCTCGTCTGCGCCGTCTCAGAGGGGCGCCAGCGTAGCGGCCAGCAGTGGCTCTCGCTGCTCGAGGGAAATCAGGAAGCGCCGCACGAAGCTCGGGTCCTTCTGGGCCAGCAGCCGCACGAAAGTGCGCTGTCCCTCGGCGTCCCACGACGAGAAGTACACCTCAAACAGTGACAGCTGGCAGCGCAGCACCTGGGGACTGCCCGGGCTGGACAGGGACCCCTGAAGCGACAGCAGGCTCAGCTCGAGGGAGAGGTCTCCTGCATCGGAGCGTAGAGACAGCGGGGTCACTACGTGGCCGCCCCTTCGCCAGGTGGCCTAAGTTACCACCCAATGCAGAGGGCATAGCTCGTGCGTCCACAGCCCAGCGACTGGTTGCCCCGGACCAACTCTAGCTATGTGGAGAGCAAGTCGTCTGCTTCTTGAGCACAAGTTGCGATGATGTCCAAATGATGCCGTGCTCTGATTGAAAGGATAGTGGACAGACCTCAGTGCTAGATGCCTTAAAGACTACCCACTATTTTTTTTTACCAGTTAATACAAGTTTAGCGTTCTGACATCAGCGCAACACCTGTGCAAGAAGCAAACGAACCTGTGCCCCGCATACACCTGTGCAAGAAGCAAACGAACCTGTGCCCCACATAGGCTTCTAGCTCTACACAACCCAGCTCCTAGCAACAGCAGGGACTGTTGCTAGGAGCTAGGACTCGGGCACCTAGCGACAGTCATTCTTGTTGCTAGGAGCCTGAATAAACTTCTGATACACCGCAAAGAGATAACCCTCCTCCCGATAGATCTGCCAAGTAGGCTTTCCCATGCGAACCACAATGACCTCGCATACACAGGATTTTTCACCTTGGGCAAAAAAAAAACAGAGTAAAAAAAGCAACTAAGGTCACCAATTTTTTTTTTTTACATTAACTTGGTTTTGTAAGCGAAAACTAAACTTTAATAGTGACCAGAATTCACAGATTGCAGACACTAAAGGAAAACACATAGAAAACAAGATCTGGTGAAGTACAATGTCTTGCTTGCACCCTTATATTTTGTTTGCTAGTCGATTGCTGTTTATGTCTTAAAAAATTCCCTACCGGTTTCTAGTATTTAGCAAAAAAGAAAACACCACTGAATGCATACCAAATAATTGTTCGACCGTATCAGAAAATAAAAACCCAGAAGATTTGGTGAATCTTGATCTGACATCTTAAAAAGTAGCACTCCAGTACTGAAGGGAATGTGAACACCAGGAATGTTTATGTTTCTCATGCATGGGCAATCAAGATATATTTTTCGTGTTTACGGCAATTCTAAAAATCTCCGTTTGCCGATTCACACAATGCCGGTTCACTCAATGTGCTGAAGTGAAACAGATGAAACAGACCAGTGGCACAGCAGGAATTTTTTTCAGGGTAACAAGATGCCTAAAATGTTCACAATTTTTTTTTTTTTTTTTTTTTTTGTGGTTGAGGGGTATGCATGTGTGTATTATAGGGTTTGTTGGATTTCACGAGGAAGGGGGAGGGGGGCTGAAGCCTTATAAGCTTCTACCCTGGCTATGCCACTGATACACTGAGGGATGCTGAATCATACAAGAAATAAATGCCGGAAGTCATAAACCCATCACATATGCGAAACACCTGTTCTGATAGTCAGCAAACCAAAGTTACGAGCTATAAACTCCTCTCCTCCCTCTTCCACCCCCCCCTCCTCTCTCTCTCTCTTCCCCCCCCCCCCTACATCCCAAGAGGAGAACTAAATTTTTCACAAAGAAAGCATCACAAAGGACCGTGATGTGAGACTCCGGAAAGTCACTTGAGGGTTTGCACTCTCCAAGAGCCCAAGATTGTGCTCCCAGTTTCTTTAATGCTTTTTTTTTTTTTTTTTGGCATACCGGAATTCACAAAAAGTGTTTCATGGATGCTAGTACTTTTACTAATGAAGATACACCACAGACAGCTTAGTTCTAAAATATTCAGTTTTGCATTGTTATAAAAACGCAACTGAAGTGAAAAAAAAGTGGGCAAACCCTCGAACAATTGGTTCTCGAATGGCTATTTTTGTCTGGTAAAAAGCCAGATTTCTAGTAGCAAGTATTTGTTTCTCAACTGTGGGGTATGTCTAAGTCACGTCTCCCTTATGACCTAAGCGTGCACGCTGCATGCTGCACCGGAGGGGGCAGGCAAGGAGGGGCTTGCCTTGCGGGTCCCTGGAGGGCGCCACCCGTGCCAGCAGCGTGGACAGGAAGGCTTCTTTCTCGGGCGGACCCCACAGGGAGAACCAGTGCAGCACGCAGCGCACCTCCAGCTGGCTCAAGGGGCTCACGCTCATCGGAACTGGGAGGTAGACGCCGCCACACGGTCCATACTCCGGTTCGCCGTAACTCGGCCAAGAACCAACGCTACGGCCCCTTTGAGGCAGTCAGAGCAACGGAGGCAAAGCACGTGACAGCCCGTACCAAAGTTGCTGCGGCGAGAGCGCAACCCGAGCAGTCGGAGAAGAGGCAAAGGAGGAACTCTCCTTTCTATATCCCAGACATTGCTTTTTCTCTCCTTTGCGAGATTAGCCAGTCACTCACAGGTTCATACAAAAGCGGCTTTTCTCTCCCGCCCGTGGCTTCGACGGCACTGCAAGCAACTAGCGAGATGGAGTATGGTCATGTGTTTCCCTCCGACGCGCCGATTGGCTCGCTGAAACCGTGGCCTTCGCCGTCTGCCAAGTTACAGCGAGACGAAGCGTAGCCTTTTTCGCGCAGACAACCTGCAGGTGGCTGCAATGCCCCTACAGCGTCTGCAACGATTCTTCGACCGGTGTGTTTAGTGTCATGTACCGCCCAAAGCGGCAACAGCCGATTTCGCAGTAGCTGGCACGCCCCGCCGTCAAATGCAGGAACCCTGCCCATCAAGTGCAAAAGTTGAGGAAAAAAAAAAAGACAAGCAAACGCAAGTGTTATGGCTGTTCCAGCATTTGAACTCGTGGCCGCTCAACCTTCCGTGAACTGTCAAGCCAGAGAGCGACCCCTAGCAGAACAAGGTGTCTGCCAATATCGGAGCAGGCAAAAGAATGACGCAGGTATGAAGGCGGAAATCAAGTGACAAAAGATGAAGATGTGGTAAACACACCAGTCAGATAGGTGTTCAAGGCACCATAGTACAACACGCAAGAACAGGCCATTTCAGAATTTACCTTCGAAGGGAAGTGGAACATACCATGTTTGACAGCTCAGATTGTGGCAACGTCGTCATGTGGCTCACGATTTAAGAGAATGAATGCCTTTTTCTTTGCTTTCTGCCTATATAATGCTTCTGTATGCTGAAAAACCAGCACCCTCCGTTCTTTGCCGTTTAACAACAGGTCCAAGGTCATGCTCAACTTAAAGAGGGCAGCCACATTTCTCTTTTTACCTTCCGGTGACATACGAATATGAATACCAACTGTGAACTTTGAAGTGCTACCGTTAAGTCAAATATTTTTCCAGTCACGTTGCAAAACGCGTCCTTGGCGACTAAAGCTCTTGATCTGTCAACTTGAAAGCAAACTGCAGTACAAAAATCCCATCCTGACCTAAAAACGACGGCCAGCTCGCAGCCCCGTTTCACGTTTTAGGCAGAAAAGAGGGCTGAAGCGAGAAATGAGAAGTAATCGCCGGTCGCGTTGATTGCAATGCCCTGCTCGCGTAACGACTCGCAGAGCACTCGATAACGGGTACCGGTTCTCTTTTTTACGTTTCAACGAGTCCGCCGAGACCTCCATAACAAAATAAAAATTAAAAAAAATTGTCGACGTGGTCTCGCGGACTCCGTGAACCATCACGCAGTCGCAGCGCAGCTACAACGAATTAATTTCGCGATGACAAATCAACCTGAACGGGAGTGCGCTTGGCATAATCCGTGTCACGCTCGTGAGTCATCGGTCATAAACGAAAACGTAATGTTTACACCGCATGAAAAGATATATTTTCGAAATAAAATAAAACGCAGATTACGTCCGCTACGTTTGGTACAACGGCTGTCAGGAAGTGCTCGACTAAATTGACCCGCAGGCATGAAATAAAAGTAAGCCTAAAGTGGCAGCAGCACGCCCAGATGTTTGCGGTTATCGATGCTTCCGGGAAATACTTCTTTTAAAGCGGCGATAAATGAAACAAGCCGATCGACTTACCGTGAACGGACAGTGCGGCGACGCTTTGGCTTTGCGCGAACTGAAAGATGGGGAAGGGGATGCAAGTATCGCAGGTCGTAAAACAATGCAGGCCGATATCGCTCTGATTCTCACTTGCCTTCGCGCCGGCCTTCGGCGCTTCGACAACAAAACGTACCGCCTACGATAGAACGATAAAACGATAGCCGACAGATACCCGCCTACAACGTCACTGCCCTGTCACTTCCTCGTTTGATAAACGGAAGACGTAGTCGACGTAGTCTTTCTAAACGACGCTAGGGGCTCAGGTGGCGCTAGCTCAAGAATATTATTTAGGGTGGGGACAACTTTTCGTTGTAGCTGGTGGGCGGTCATTGGACACCAGCTATCAAGTTCTCGTGCTGTTCAAGCGTCCCCCCAAAAATGTTTTCATTTTTTTTTCAGGCGATTCATCATGGTGTCCGAAGACTACCTAATTAATATTCTGCTACAGAGTCAACTATATTTTTAATAACGCCAAAAAACGCAACTGCTGGGAACCGAAACTGAAACCTCCACACGGAGGTCGGAGAAGTGGAGAGGAGAAAGTGAGTGGCGGAAGTCACGTTTAGCTGTACATTTATTCGCCGATAAAAACCGAAAATATGTATTCATTAAAAAAATAAGCAAAGAAAACGCAGAACAAAAAAAAACACAAAAAACGTTGACCCTTATTATATTTTAAGCAGTCTTTTCTCGCTGTGTTTTTAGCAGATCTCCATGCGTCAGACAGTACCCCGTATCGCACGGAAATACAGTCAGGCCTGCCATTTTCCAAAGAAATACAAAATCGAAATCGTATAATAGACTTCTTCCAAAACCGACGCGCCCCATCACGACGAAATACCACGCAGTGCACTCTGGGAACTAGTTGGCCACTCAGTTTCGTTTTCCATTGAGCAGCTTCATCTCATGCTATCACGCCGCGACCGAACACGCTGCTTGCGTTTTGGATTATCTGATTTTTTACGAATGTATAATACACTCATTTTCGAGCGATACAAAACGAAGACTGGGGCACTTTCCTTGGTTCCCGAAACACCGGATATTGTGCGTGCCTATGCAAACGTAGTAAGACGTGGCTTGGTCACCTCACCCCACGAGTGCATCTTTGAGCTCAATGTCAGTAATCCCGTCTAGTACCAGTGAACTACAACTGAAATTTGGTCACCTTGAGCCCTACACGTATTTTGTTTGCCAAACGTCTGCTTCTTGTTACCGCAGTGGGCGAAAAGCAAGCCGCATCGTCACAGGTGTTTTAAAGTTGAGCCCAGCGTTGGCGCAAGAACTTTTAAGAAAACGCAATAAATTCGACCTCACTACTGCACAAAAGTTACTATGATGTCTTCCTAATGTCATCACATATTTCACACTCAAATTTTATGCTGATAGAAGACTAAGTTTTCGCAAACACTGAGGCCTGCTAGCGACGACGGAAACCCTTAACAAGCGTCCTCTACTCCTCGCTAAGCCTTTTTGGACGAGCTTTTACTGACGCCCAAGATCTGTGCCTTAACAGTGTGTCTGAAATTATCTCAGCATACTACAGTCAGGAAGAAAGCAAACAGATAACAAATATTATGGCCATTAACAACCGTCATATGCGCTTTGAATAATTTCGTTCGCACTTCCGGCGAACGGTGCGACGTTCTTCACACAAGTGCTCAACTTTTGCTTTCTTAAGACGGTTTGTATGAGCGAATGTGTCTGTATAATTGCAGGATAACTTTATGCGCATAAGCGATGTTGAATATTAGTGGAATCCAAGTGGGTGGGGACTTGACTTCGTGCAGTGCTGCGGGGCAGTACAGATAAGAGATGAGAAGTGTGTTCAAATGCAGCTTTTCAATGGCGACTCCGAGTTTTACCTTGCGTACTCAGGCGTATTAAAAAGAAAAAAAAAACAGTAATTACAAAAAGGTATATTTCGTCTATGGACACACGAAACAAACATACTTCCTGATCAACAACGCTAATGTAAAGGCGCGAGCTCGATGTATGCATACTTATTGCTTGGTACAGCTTGTTGATTCGTACACAAGCAAGATCCCCGAGCTTCGCAGCGTCAAGATTTTCAGCACTGGCTCGTCCACCATACCTCGAAACACTAACAGAGAGGCTGAAGTACAAAAATACAACAAGCATGCGTTAAAACAAGTTATACGTCTCGGGCTTCGAGCCCGAGACGTATAACTTGTTTTAAAGCTTCGAGGTCTGGCCATTTAGGTTAGTTTAGAGACAACAAATGACGCTGGTTGAAAAAAACCCCGAGACTGCGGGTAAACGACACAACACTAAAAAGTCTCTAACACAGCTGAAATTTTTATTTTCCAAACTTGGTTATATAGGCGGGGCGGGGCATATAACCAAGTTTGGAAAATAAAAATTTCAGCTGTGTTAGAGACTTTTTAGTGTTGTGTCGTTTACCCGCAGTCTCGGGGTTTTTTTCAACCATGTGCAATGTACACCAGTTCGTTTGCGCCCTTACTTTTTGTTCAAATGACGCTCTCGGGAACAGAAAACATGAGATAACGGAGGTTTATAGTCCACGCTCTGTGTATAATCTCTTGTCGACGTGTCGATCGAAACCGAAACCATGCCACTCTCCTGCCTGGCCAACTAGTTCCCAGTGTGCAACGCGCGCCATGTTGCATGCAGGGGTTTATGGAATCTTGCAGACGGCATACTCCGTGTGCGTTCGTCATGCGTTTGTCGTCTGCAACCTGTCTGCAACAGGCGCATTTCAAGGCGTCCCGAGGGCCAGAAGTTGCCGTCGCAAATATTTCAGAAACAGCCGATTCTCGGCAAACTTCTGCCGTCCTACGTGTGAAATCTAGGCTTCCTTTATTTATTATCTTTGGAAGTTTCAGTTCCACGTCTGATTTTTGACCAATCGTTCTTTCGGAGCTACAAAGCCCCTAGCAACGGTTTGTTTGGAGCGGTGACGTCACACTTACGGGGTCAACTATGACGCTGAAGGAAAAGAAAAATATATAAAATACATTGTATACACATATAATTAAAATAATAATTCAGAGAGTAAAATTTATTGTTTCGATGTCCAGTGATTAAAGGGACACTGACAGGGTATTTATGCTCGCTGAGGTTTTTAGTTGTACGTGTCATATGAGAGCTCAACTACCCAGAACAGAATTTGCGGCTCGAAATTCGGTTTCTTTCCGCCCGAAAACAGCCGATCAAGAACTAGCCGGTTCGAGTCTCGCTCACTCTCTTTTTCGAGGTCACGGGCCGTTTTCTAAGGTATCGATGCGACCACCAAATTTAATCAAAGTCGTGGGTCACTGAAGGCACACACTCAATATTAAAAATAGAAAAAAATATGAAACCCATTTTTTGTGGCTTCTAAAAAGCTGTAAATACGTTGATTGAAAAAAAAAAGTTCCACAGACAACCGGAAGCATTCTGTGCGTTCGTCGTTTCGCGTATCGTGGGACTCGCGGGGATGGCGATGGCAGCGGACGACGGGCGTGGGACCTCTATTTCAGAACTGTCGTTCGCGGTACCGGCGAATTTTGTCTGCCTTTAAAAGAGAAATTTGGGACAGATCAAAAGAATTTGTATTCATCCCGTACGACACGCCCGGCCACCAAGCCGATTTGCACGAAGTCGTCGCCGAGCCGTCGCTCCCTTCTCGTGGCTGAAGACATCGCTCGCGCAAACGTCAAGCACGACGTGTCTACTTCGAGTTGAATATGCACGCGTACGATTTCTTTACTAGGTGCGAATGTCCCCAAAGCGTGGTGCTTCCCGACTTCGACTCAGGAGTGCTTTTGCTAGAGAAAAATCGACAGCAAACTTTCCAACTTACAGTTTACCGGCTGAATTATTACAAAGGAAAGAGGTCCCAGAGGAAAGAGATCCCCCAGTAGCTCGGTGGGAAAGACGTCCGGTTCACACGCGGTAGGACAGAGTTCGATCCCCCGTGAAACTTTTTTTTTTTTTCAAACATTTCCCAATGTTTACATACCTTTTTTTCTTTTTTTACAATCATCACTGAAGAAACAAACAAAAAATAACAAACAAATGTTGCGGACGATACTTTGCTGAATTAAATGGTATGGGATTTCCTTTTTGACACCTGCGAACTCAATGTAATCACTTTCCACAAACTGCAAGGAGCATATAAATCAGGTAGCGTCCGCTTTCCGAGGTGCCCGTATATGTTCTACAGGAACTGCAGCCAGCCAATGGTCCCGATCCCGTTGATCTTTCGGAAACTCTGTAGCACAATGCCACTTTTTTTTCGGACGCAGGACATGTGAGCCAGCTCTTCACGCAACATCTTGGGTGTATTCTTTTCGGAGCCGGTCATGGAAATTCACCACGGGCACTCACTACTCATCTCCGACTCCTCAATGTACAAAACAACTCATCTTGGAGTACAGAACAACGAGCGGAACAAACATAACTGCAAAAGAATCGCCCGGCGAGCAGTTCCCGCACGCCGCATCGCACGCCGCATGTCGTGTCGTCTGCTACGGGGAGGAGAAAAAACAAACAAAAAAAAAAAAACGCACGGTCGGGTGTAGCCACGTGACTTCCGCCACTCACTCTCTTCTCTCCACTTCTCCGACCTCCGTCGGGTTTCGGTTTCGGTTTCGAGCAGTTGCGTCTTTCGGCTTTATTAAAAAAATACGCTACTCTGTTGCAAAATATTAATTGGGTAGTCCTCCGACACCATAATAAAGCCCCTGGCAAAAAATGAAAAAAAAGTTTTGGGGGGTGTCAGTGTCCCTTTAAGTCTCCCACTTTTCCCGGCAACCTGCATTCACGCGGAAGAATTCTTTTCCTCCCCGAGTTTTTGCGTCGATATTTTTATCAGAACTGAAAGCGACGTAAAGGTTGAAGAAAAAGAAGAAAAGAAGGAAAGCCAGGCACGGTTGAGCAAGTGAAGCCCGCTTTTCTCCCTTTGTCCGATATTTAGATCTTCTTTTTGTCGTTCAACGGTACAAGGTGGTTTCCATCGAACCCTAGCTTCTTCCAGTCATTGTATATACAGTTCCCAATCTTGCCACTATTCGTTAGACTCTAAGGTAGTCCTACTCAGGCAGTGCAGCATCTCACCACATTTCTAGGCTGTCTGCACTTCGCTGTATATGTCATCCCCCCCATTACCTTGTTTCAGGCCTCACATATCTTGCCATGGGTGACGACAAGCTAGCTGTGTGCTGTACCGTCTGCTGCAGCCTCATCGGGATACTTGGGTTGATGCTGATTACGGCTGCATTCATACTGGCGAAACGTCCACAGTCCAATTTCGAGTGTTACAACCAATGGGCCGTTGCTGTCGACGCCAAAGAGTGCAGTCCGGTGGCCAGGTGGGCAGCCGCACTTTTTTTTATCTTTTTCTGTTTGTTTCTTCTTTCTGTAGTTGTTTTTCTACAAATTTAATGTAGAAGATTTTTCCTGCTCTTCGATGCCTGTTTTCAACTTTTCGTTCACGTCAACTCATGTTTATCGCTTCGCGCGAACGACTTGAAACAACGCCCAATTCGAAGGACACTAGGTGGCGCGAGCCACTGCCCAATTCAAAGAGTTTAGCCGCTGTATACCCATCAACAGAGCCGTGTATTGAGAGAGTTTGGTCAATGGGAGGTGCGGGCAGAGTCAGGGCGTACGGCAGAGTCGGAAAGAGGGCTTGGCGTGCTCTCTTGACCAACCAGAAGCCGAAAAGAATCCCCTAGCGGTGGTAGCGGCAAACAGTTCTGATCAAAAGTCTATGTTCGTATATGGTTTTAATAAACGCATAAGAGTGAAGTGTAGTAACTCTTTGTGGTTGAAAATAGGGTGCACGTGTTGTTTTGATTATGATCATGCAGAAAGATGTAAGAAACGAATGCGCCGCGCAACTCTGTTTTGCGCGGATAGAGTGTGACCGTTCGGACGGCAAATTCCCGGCCCTGGGCGCTTGGCGTACGGATCATGTCGATCGTTTCGCTAGTCGCACCCTTCCACCATCATTTTGGATTAACGTGATTGAAACATCACGTGTACCATATTTTCAGCCATTGAGAGTTACTCCAATGCAGTTATCAGGTTTGTTTCTTGCGACCACCGCCAGGGTATTATTTCCGGCTTCTGGTTGGTCACATTCGAATTTCTGAAGACGCCCTGGAACACGCCCAGCCCGCTTTGGCCAATGGCGCCTCCTCATTCGTCTCCTATACTTCCCAACGAATGGCCAAACTCTCTACATTTACGGCTCTGCCCATCAATACTTAGTCCATCGCGCGCGCAGATGCTTTGGCGCATTTCGGAAACGGGTTCCTGCGCATGTCCGCAACTCACGGGCCACAGCTCTTGTAGGAAGATCTGTTTGTTTGTATGTGGAATATTTTTTTTTGTGTCATACAATGAGATGTCTTGGAGGAAATGCACGGCTCCTAACTGGGATATTCTCAAAATCAGGGGTATAAATAGTTCAGACATTCCGTCGTGTGTACTGACCAAACAAATCTAAATGCACGACGTTTCACCGTACTCAGTGCCACAGCACAGGCTGTTTTTCGGGCCTAAACCTACTTTCAGCCCTGTCATTTGCCGAGCTCCTACCATAAATGAACCCTTTTCAAAAGTCCGCGACATCGCCTACCCGCCACTGTTCGATCGAGTCACGTACTCTCATGTATTGGACACGAGTGTGACGTCAGCGTTCGACGAGGACTCGGATCGAATCACGCGCTTTGTTCCCAAGAAATGGCGAGCACCAGTGTTGCCCGATGGACTTTTGAAACGGGTCTATTGCAGCGATCGGCTCTGCCAAGTGCTTTGCGAGAAAGTCGACGCTCCAGATTTCTCGGTGTGCTCCACCTGGTGATCGAAAGAGACGAGCGCATTAAGAAGTACCAACTCCTTATACTTCGTGTCACGCTTCCCCTAAACCCCGCCAAGCAACTTTTTTTAACTAAAAATTTACATGCACCAGTTTTTTTTGTTTTTTTTTTGTAGAAATGGTTACGTTCCCGGGTGACAGCAGATATTAGGTCAACAAAATAGAAATGGGGAACGTTTATCCCGGAATGTCATCTCTCATCTCCCTCTCCCTCTCCCCCCCCCCCCCCCCCCCCCACTAGGGCTGATCCATAAATCCTCCCCTGCCGTACCCTTGCCCTCTTCGACTAGCAAATGAAAGGCGACCCAGCATCCCTCAGCCCGTCAGAAAGCAGTGCGGCACCGTGCAGTTGTGTGTCAGTTTTCATTGCTGCTTTTTATACCCCATATTACCGACGCCGGAAAATAGAATCGTCAAGAAGGACGGTTGGCCGTGCGCGGGGCGGTGTATACCCTCCGAAAATGGCGACAACGTGAAGCAAGGTCGCGGGAGAGGGTGTACGCATGCGCAGAGGCATCTATCCGGTTTTCCAGAAAAATCATCAGCCTGGGAGGAAACATCGCCGACGTCGCGGTCGCCAGCCTGCTATGCATGGGCGTCGTGTGGCCTCACGTCATGGGCATCGGCGGGGGATTCTTGGCCGTGCATTACAACCAGTAAGGCATCTTTCGTGTCACGGGATACAAATATACGGAGCGAAAATTCGTCTGCTTCTTGCACAGGGGTTGCGATGATGTCGGAATGCCGAGCTCTTATTGGCTGATTGAAAAGCAATTGTGGGTAGACCTCCAGGTATCTAGGATCGAGGTCTACCCACTTTCCTTTCAGTCAAAGCCAATCAGAGGTCGAAGTCATTTTGACGTCCCCGCAAGATCGAAGCAGACGACAGTCGCTGACAGCTTAGGAAAGGCAGGGCATGGCAAATCTCGAGCAAGTTCCCACCGCCCCGCAGACAATCAGGTTGAGGCTTTAGCCGATAACCACGACGAAGAACCAATCATGGAGCAAGCATGTCGTACACAACGAGCCATGCCATGCGCTTAAAGGGGAGCTCCGGCAAAATAGTCATAATCACTGATTTGCGTCGAAATTGGTTGAGCACATTAAAAGTCACATCTAAACCAATAACCCAACACACAAAACTTTTTTTTTTCTTTTTTTTATGTTTTAAATTTGGTTTGATGGGCCCAGAGGCTCTTCGGGCAGCATTGAAAACGTGACGTCAGGTGTTGTAATATAGGGCAATATGAGGGCACTACAGCTTATTTTTGGCGGGTTACGCTGGCATGTTTTATGACGAATAAGAGGCCATAATCAAACGGATTTCTGTAAAATTTCAGATCGGGGAAGAAGTCAGGTGTCTTAATTTCTCGAGAAATGGCCCCCTCAAATATACCATATGTCATTCCAACAGACGGGCTGGGTAAGTTCAACGTGAATCGGCCATCTGAACCGTGGGGGACAAAAATGTGCGAGAATATGGCGTTTTTAGGCGCAGGCGCCGTGGCGGTTCCAGGGGCAGTGTCCGGGTACAGCGAGCTACACACGAAGCTGGCGGGAAAACTGCAGTGGAAGGAACTCTTCGACCCGGCCATTGACTTGGCTCTCAGCGGGTTCCCTGTCAGTTCCGTCTTGGGACGTGCTCTGAGCGAGGCGTCGCAGATGATCCAGGACAGACCCGACATGAGGTGGGTTCAGTGCGGCCGAAAGGCCGACTCCAGAGACCTGCTTACGACTGAATCAATGGGATACGAGAAGAAATTTAGCTCGTGTTTCTTGGTTTAGCCAGAAACTATTGTAAAAAATGGGCCGTCAAAATTACGGTAAGTTGACTGGCATTCTGGCTGCCAGCAACTTCTCGTAATTTATACGGCAGACCGTAAATTCAAATTTACTGCCTGACCGTAATCTCCCAGTAAATTAAACGGTCGCAGTAAAAAAAGATACCGTTAATTTTACGGGGCGATGCTGAACAGACCGTAAACGAGATTTACTGACTGCCGCTAAGATCACGGCATGGTGGCAGTTTATTTGCCGGTCAACTGACTGCTAATTTAATGGTCACCGTAAAAATGTTGACCGTTTAATTCACTGCCAGTTGGCCATCGTAAGAAGTAAATTGAAGGTGCAAAATGCTGGCACAATGAAGCGCTAGCACTTCGTACAACACGTCAGAAAGTATGCGAAATTCGACATAAGTAAGCATTGTCGAATTCTATCATCTTCCCACCGCATTGTGCGACATGCTTGGCATTTCACCGCACATGTTTTGCTGCTTCGATTTACTTCCTACTACTGGTCAACAGACAATGAATCAAACAATGGGCCATGAAGTCTCCTTAGGTTAGCCATTTTGTGCCTGTAATATATGTGGCATGCTGTTTATTGTAATTGTAGCGTGGTCTTCATGTCTGCAATGCAATCGTTGTGTATGTACATGCAAAAGCAATTAAGCCAGAACACAGCATAAATTATGTGTAGGATAGAAATAAAAACAGAACATTTATTTACTTGGATGATGAGGACCCAGGTCCATATACCCTCTGATCTGGAAAAGAAAGAAACCAGTCATCAATATAACATATATAAATGTGCCAAAATAGAAGCAGTTTAACAGATATGTTGTATAATGTTAGCCACGCTTTATTCACTGTGCAAAGAAACTAATGATGCTGATATTGCTTACAATGTTTGAAAGAAGCTTTATGTGACAACTGAACCCCCCCCCCCCCCCCTCTAGCTTACCTTCTCCTAATCAAGTCAAACTTCATTATATCTCAGTAGCTATATATTAGCCATGTAGTACATGTATTCTGGTTTTCTGGAATACCATATCAGTATCCCAGCACAGCCCCTATATACCTGGGCAAATGAATGAGAGGATATGCACAAAGTTTGGCAGAGAATGCTGCACAAAAATACAGCTATTTTATGGGAAAGCCTACTATTCACTTACTAGACAGACATTTGTCAACTTAAGAGCTGAGTGAGTTTGTTTTCAAAATCAGGGGTTGACACTAATTAAGCAGCACACATAGAAATTTACTCCTCCTCTTCATCTAGTTAAGCTGGTTGACTGTTGTTGGCACTAACGTAGAACTAGTCTTTCCCCACCCCCAGAGACTGCAATTCTCTTGCCACCGTGCACTAATGAAAAGGCACCATTAATCTTTCTCTGACATGTTCACACCATAAGAGATATGAATAGTCGTGGCCGGTTGCATCAGGGCGAGCTGCGAACGTCAGGCTTAGCTGTGTAGAATCTCTGTGCACTGTGCCTAGTGTCACTTCAGATAAACAAATGGTTAAAGCAGTGTGCTCAGCACTTCAATTTGAGATGATATCCAAAATAAACATGGACAGCTTGTGATGCAGCTGCCACTTACATGCTTCTCATTTTATCGACCTATATTTGCCATGTATAAGATGCACTATAAGATGCATGAAATGATGCACAGCAATGGCATCATTTCTCTTAAAATATATGACTGCATGCTAATCATGTCTCATTTCTAGCATCACATAGACATTTTTTCATGTAATTATAGGCAGCGTAGTAAAGCTATGCTTGAGTTCTAGGTAAGTTATGTTTCAACCCAATAGTGTTAATGCAGCAAAAGAACCAGCGTCCAGCGTCGGCATGTCGAGAAAACCCCTCGATGTTTTGCGCCACGATCCCTTGTGCATGCAAGGGATCATAGGATTCCCCCTCCCCACTGCTGCCCTCCCTGCCCTTACCCCCACCTCCCCTCTCCTCCTCCACCCTCTGCCCTCCCGCTATCGTGTCATACATTAAGGCCGAGCATAAGTGTCCCCCCATTTGTTTTTTCACACAAGCAGCTGGGTGCTCGATCATTATCATACTCACCAAATTTAGACCCAAGTGCCATTGCTTATGGCTGCTGAAATCTTCCTGGTGCCAAGACCTTGTGTTGAATGAGCTCGAGCTCCATGTTGCATGCCTCGTTCCCACATAGGATGACCGACCTTCAACAGACATATTCAAACAGAACAGAATGAGTAGAAAACCACAGACTGAAAAAATTAAGGAAAGTAACTCCAAGCTAGTGCTGATGTGATGTAAACGGTCAGAGTAATTTCGGAGCACCTTCTGGGCCAGCCAAAAATATATTTTCAAGCAACAAAAGGAAGTTTTGGATTTCGAAAGCACACTTCCTATTCATTCTGTTGTGAATACTACATTAAGATACATCTGTTTGCCTGTCAAAACTAGAAGACAATGCCTGCTTTCCTTTCCCACCCCTGTGTTACCACTAGTGTCAAGTTTAGGGACAAAAATTCTGTAATATAGTTATTCACAACAATTGCATTTAACAAAGATTTTTATGTTTATTCTAACATGTAAATTTAACTAGTAATATATCCGTTCAAGAAATATTACTACTTGATATGTCCACACTGTGATCAACAATACTAACATCTCCATCATTTAATCCATGCACTAAACAATATACATGTTCAAATTTGTGGGCCATGTTAAGGCCCGTTCACACTCTTGCGACCGAGTACGACCGAGAGAGACCAGACCGGTTTTTAATCCTCTTGCGACTTCTTAGGACCGTTCGCGCTGCTGCGGAGCTGGTCCTAAGAAGTCGCAAAAGGATTAAAAACCGGTCTCGTCTCTCTCGGTCGTACTCGGTTGCAAGAGTGTGAACGGCGCTTCAGTGCGTGAACTTTTTAGGAGACCCTGCACTAGCAAACAACTTGGTTTTTGAAATCTTCACCAACTTAGAATTTTCAGATTATCATTTCTCAACTTCCCTGTCTATTCAAAGACATGTGGACCATATGTTTAAATGACAACTTTCCTTCCCAAGCATGAGCCTCTGCTACAGCGAGACGAGATATGCAGAATCAGTGTGAAACCTGTGGGTACCACCTCTTTGTGGTGCACAAGTGTATGGTTAAGAGTGCGCCCAACGGTGGCGGCTAACTAGATTGGACAGACCACACATAATGCCGAAAATTCCCAAACTGGAAAGCACAGTATCAATTTTACAAAAGTAAAATTGAATAGTATATTGCCCAGAGCAGCAATAAATTTTGATTATTTGCTCAAGCCCACTCTGATGGTCCAGCCATGAAGCAGGGTCTTATTCACTGCTTTCTATAATAATGCGCTGAAGTAATGTGTGCTGAAATGTAGGCATGAGCAGTATGACAACAATGTAAGAAAAAATTTAGGCAAGCTTGATGATGCTCACAAAAGCTATGAAAGGTCAGAATGTGTTGGGCTCATTCAGATGCATGCTGTGTGTGGTTATGTGACCGTCTGACTATGAACGATTCGCTATTTGCAGTATGGACAGGTGACCACACACAAATGATGGTTATGTGATCCCATTATTCCCAGAATGGTGACAAGCTGGGTGGGACTCTGCGAACAATTATGCACAAAATCAGCGCAAAAGACGAACACAGAAAGAATGAGACAGGACAGAGCACTACTTACAACTGACATTTTATGAGAGGAAAGAGGAAGACAAAGACAACATTGACGCTAATATAACAGGAAGAGAAAAAAAATACAATAAAGAAAAAAGTAAAATCACAAAAAAATATATCACAAAAAGATAATAAAAAATAATAAGAAAAAGTCTTAGGTGATAAACTAATAAAAATAAAAATAAAATTAAAAATTAAGGAGTCTTTTCACTAGTTTGGTGTTATATGTTTATTAACTAGGCCATCAAATTATTTTGGAACAATGGCGACTAGATGCCATGGATCATGGCTAAGTGACCACCATTTATTCACTATTTGCATCTGTCAGTGTGACATGTCAGTCTGTCCAGAGTGTAAGTCACTGGCCTTTGCCATGAAACTCGACTGGCAAAACACATTATTTGTTGAAACCTGACATCCCCTTTTCACAGCATTAAAGAATTCATGCAACTTTACCCCAACGTTTCATAAATTATACACTCATTCGCCAGAATCAATGAAGAACCATTATTGTAAACTACCTCATCACATCCCCTCCCAGACGGGTAACAGCTGCAAAATTGCTTTCAATATTTCACGAACTAACCTTTTAAGGTACCCGTCTACAGCCGGAAATTTTGCTCTAAAATAAGCTGTGTGATATCATTGTTTTGCTATCCAGCAGAGATAATTTGATAAAGGTGCCGACTCACGAGAAGTACTAATCAAGCGCCGAATTCAATTTTTCTTTTTTTGCAAAAAACAAAGTGAAGACATTTTTTTTGTAAATCCATCACTGGCAGACAAACACACTATACCAGTGAGTAAGGCTTGTAGTTTCTAAGACAGTGGTCTGTTACAAAACCTTCAGATACCCTTCGTTAGTGGTAAATGTATCCCTGCATCTATCTATCTCTGAGAATTATCCTTCCTCTCTAGTGACAGTGGACTCTGACGCTCATTGAATTGTTTCACCTTCTTCTGCTTCTCTTCAAAATGAGTCTCATGTCCACTTCCCATTTATTAAGTGAACACTGTAGTGAATCATACTTACAGCCTCACACATTCCACTCCAGCTCTGCTATTTTCTTGACCAGGTTAAGTACTTTCTTGCTCACTTCTGACTTGGAGCGCTTGGCTCTGGTGCCACGGTCAGGGTTCATGCTCAGGAAACCTCTGCAATAAGCATCAGTGCCATAAAAGAAACATTCCATCCAAGTTGGTAACCTGAAAAGTTAGTCAATTTGGTCATATGTGTCACATATGTATACATGACCGAAGGGAGAGACTAGAAGAAAGTCAAATATTTAGTAAAGAGAATATCAGGAGGGGCCAAACTGCGGCTTGTGAGCCGCATGCATCTCTTCATGCCTCCCTATTGCAGCTCTCCTAACCTGAGGACCCACAAGTTATAACAGGTGGGACCAAACACTAAGCTTGTATACAAAAACGTTACAGTGAGAAGCGGGAGCATATCAAAATATGCAATATTGCTGGAGTTGTTTCGTTGTATATGGGCACAATAAAATGACATGTAATGGTCAGAAGGGGCAAATCAGTTTGAAAGATAAGCTCTATTTTTTTTATTTTCTTGTTTATTTCACCTTTACAAGCCAGGTTGAGGCAGTGTTAGCTTTGTGCTTAAATGTTTCCCTAAAATTGATTTCTGAGCTTTGTTATTACAATCCAGTCCAGCTGAAAGATGAAACACCAAGACCACTGGCCTATGCATACATGCAATTGAAGCTGTTTGATTGACTGCGAGAGCAGATAAGGGTTTTTATTCACCTGCCTCCATCTTGCATGTGCAGTGCCTTGCGGCGAAACGCATGCACTCGATCTGTGGACTCTGCTCGGGTGCAATTTCAATAAAAAGTACAGCATTGGTGCAGGATGTGGGAGCTATAGTTGTTTGGAGCTGGCGGAAACAATTGGAACAGCTCTCGAATCAGCGAGATATGTGCTCTTCTATTTAACAAATGAGAAGGAAGGTACCAACCAGGGCCGTAACTAAGGGGGGGGGGGGTTAGGGTGTTCTGACCCCCCCCCCCCCCCCGACATTTTTTTTCTGGGTACGGCCCTGATGTACCAAACCCCGCAAAGCACTCAAGATATGCGCAGATTTCTTGTTTGTGCCCTCAACCTAAGTATGAATAGAATGGATACGAATTGCAACTGGGGTTTAAAACTTCACGAGAGCGATTGCTCTGAACGTGAAAAATTATTTCGCTGGCAGTCGGTGGTAGGTCGGAGGTCCTCTAGGCTTGGTGGTAGCGGCATGGCGAAGGCAACTAGCGACTTCTCATAAAACACAGGGTCGTCCAGGTGAATCGGCAAAAGTTATGCACCAACTTCTATTCCTTTCCATTACCAGGAATTAAATTCCCGACAGTTTTTTTTCTTAAGGTTACAAGCGATTTGAAAGTATCCTTTTATTACCTTTTTAGCAAAGCGGAGGACCAGCCCCGGTACAGTGCTGGTACATGGTCGGTGCACTTGCAGCCATCCGATTTTAATCTCCACCTCTGCGCACGTGCAGTGGCGCCGGTCGGTTACTGGGTACCAAACCGGGACCGGTTCTCCGGTTTGCTATAACTCTCCATTATATGCCACCGATGTACATGATTCATAGGCGAAAATAGGACAATAGACATTTTCAAAATGGCTGCCGTTGTCCCCGAAACCCCCCCTTCCCCGAAATTTCTTTCTGGGTACGGCCTTGGTACCAACTGTGGGTCCATGTCTTTTATGACACTAAATGTGCAAGGTGTTTGCTTTATTTCAATAGGAACAATAAGCCTGGAAATGATATAGATAAAAAGTATGGAGTCCTACTAGGCATCCACATACATATACCAAAATCACAGAACAGGAAATTACCTCTGAAGGAACTCAAGGGTCGATGACAGGCCTTCAGCGTAGCAGATGTTAAAGCAATAGTGACTCGCAAAGAGTGCGCAGCCTATGCCGTAGGGACGTCTGGTATCTTCTGAACCATGAGCCTGCCATCAATGCTGAGTGCGTACTCGTGAACAGTCCACAGATCATCCCCTACAAAAGTTTAAAAAATGAGAAAATAGTAAACATTCAGATAAGTAGAGTTGCTGACAAGGCATTGAAACAATGGGGCTGGGCTGCACCTCCAGATCGTGGACATTTCAATTAATTGTAAAAACAAAAAGGGAAAAGGGAAGGGGCCCAGCTTCGTCCCTCCCACCCTCACTGCCAGTCTCCCCCCCACATTTCAAACACTTCTAACATTACTTGTTGCCGACAGGAGATGAGATCCTTGGCTCAATTTGCCTTCCCTCCACTATGAGTGAGCTTGTTTGAGTGTAGGCCAGTCAGAATTCTACTCCAGAAAGGGAGAGGATGGGCCGTGAAGGCACCTAGGCAAATGTTCCCTGGTTAGTGGAGAGGAGACATGTGCCACCAAAACTGAACAGGAACCTCGAAGACCCTCTCTCTCCCCAGTTGCACAGGACCACCGCATTTGCATGGATACACGCTGTATCGTTACATCTAGCACATACTTCTATTGGCTGCAAAGAAATCAAATGATTTGTGACTTCTAGCAACTTCGGAAATGTGTGTTGTCGCTATGGGCTATAGGTAGGGTTCGGCGTTTTCGGTTTAAACCGATAAAAACCGATAAAAGTACGCCGAATCTATTTTCGGAAATTCGGTTTCAACCGAAAAAGGTCAGTTTTTAGGCTCGGCATTTTCGATTGAAACCGATAAAAATACGTGGCATTCATTTTCTAAAATTCAGTTTTAACCGGAAAAGCTCACTTTGACCTTCCAGTCGTACCGCAGAGCTGTGGCGAAAAAATTAAACGACAGTGTCTATCGAAATGTGCCCGAATTTATGGGATACACGGATGCCATCACGACGTTTTGGTTTGAATGTGCCGCATCATCGATCCGAACGTGAAGTCTGAATTACCCCCGACTCCCCATATACAAGCGTGTTTTTTAACTCGTTGTAAAGAAGACTGACTTGATTCAAGCTCTGTATGTTATCTTGTGCTACAATACGTCGCACCGTGTCTCTTTTGGTGGTCACAATTGGTTGATGGGCCAATTTTGGCTCAGGCAGCTCTTCATATCCTCAGACTGCCAGTGTCCAGTGTTAGCGTTGTGAGGGCATTCTCGAAGCTCAGGGTTATATTAACAGGGAAGAAAGAGTGCGGATCAACGAGGAGAACTTTTGAATGTACATGTGTGTGTACTATAATAAGATCACGTAATCGTGACGTACAGACGGTAAAGTTCCAATTTTTTTTTTGGAAATAGGCTTTATATCTTACTTGTCTGTACTTCTGTTTTCTTCTTGTTTCTTTTACAGTTGCACAGATTCGCCAAATAAAGTGTCCATTTCTTTTTCAATGTATCTGTGCCGTTATTCTTTGAATGATCAAAAATATCAGAGCTACAAGAATCATCTGATCCGGTGACCGTTGGTGTTTATTGTATATTCACAGAAAAACGCCGATAAAATTTTGAGGGCATAAATATACGCCGAAAAAAACCGAAAATTGAATTTTAAAATAAACACCGAAAAAAGTACGCCGAATTTTGAAAAAAATAGAAACCGAAAACGCGGAACCCTAGCTATAGGTAGCCATTGTAGATTTTATGAATTGTCTGACAGACATGTGAAACACATCAAATGATTTGTATTTGATTTAAACTCTGAGACCTGCTTTATATTTAGATATCAGTGTTTTTAGGTTTTTATTGTTCTAGGATTTGACATACTTCTTTTGGCTTTTATTTGGAAATTTATTTATTTATTCGTTTGAAATACTGTGGCCCTGTCGTTCTACACAGGAGGGGAAAAAACAACACACAGAAATAACTCAATCATGCACTGACCGTGTGAGGCGAGCGCAGGTAGGTTGCAGCAACCCACGCATGCTCAAAAAATAAACATTTCCACATGAAAAATTTAACCAAACAATTCATTCAGCTGTGCTTCAAATAATTGAGGACTACAATTCTCATCTACAGCTGGGAGACTCGTCGCCCCTGTGAGGCAGACCAAGTTCTAGGCTGTATAAACATAAACACAACCCAATTTTTTTTTTTTTTTTGAGGACTACAACAATTGACAACTTGCTCAGGCAGGGTGTTCCACTCAATAATAGTCCGACTAAAGGAAGAGTATTTAAATACATCATTTCTGTACTGGTAGGGTGCAATTGCTTTAGTATTGCTTGTTCTTTTGGAGCGTGAATGCGTCACCCGTTAAATCGAGCCGAGGTCCACTCGCGCGCAGTTGACCTTTATGAAACCGTAAGATGTGACATCTGAGCCCTACATAAGTAGTGAACTGCAAACAACAAGTTGCGTGCATAGATGGAATCTGCCGCGCTCCGAACTCGTGGCTGTCATAATGACGCACATATTCGACCAACGTGGTTGACCCCTTTGAACAAACACGGCAAACAAACATGGTTGTTCAAGCCGTCGCCTCACTAAAGCGAGAAAAGAGCTAAGACCGACAAATCGCGAGAATGTGCAGTATTAATCTGAAGCTATCTTTGGCTGGCTCTCAATCGCTTGTGCTCCCTTCCCGAAAAGGAGCGCGAACGACGATCGACAGCCGGCCAGCGATGCACTCCGTCAACGCACGTGCTGCCGGTTTGTCGGTGTCGGCTCATTCTCGATCTTGCCGGCAACGGCCATTAATTTTCTCAGAATCAGATCGAGCTTGCCACATTCATATTCAAAATGATACTCACGTTATGTTCGTTTACTATCGGGCCCGCCAAATGCCTCGGGTACTGCGCCGTCAGCCGTCTTGGTAGCCACGGTCGTGCTCCCTACCGCTAACTTTCCTCGCTTTGTTTTCTTCCTTCGGGAAACAAAAGATGGCGACCCGACGGGGGGAACGGCGCTAACGGCGCGAAAGCAGACAAGGCGGCGAAGGTGGCGAAGGTGCGAAAGCAAGGCAGCGCGATGGCGAGGGCTGTGGGCGAGGGTCAAGGCAGTCAAGGCGCGAGCCGCGAACTGGAGAGCAGCCCGACGACGCAGGGACGCAGGCGCAGAAGGCCCCCAACACATCACGTGCGTGCCGTGCGTGTGTCTGGAGCGTGGTGCGGAGTGTGTAGCGCGCCTCGCTTGGGGCGTCCGCTTCTTTCCTTCCGTCGCCGTGCCTTCTCTCGTTCCACTTCTTTCCTCCCGTCGCCGTAGATCGTTTTCGTAGATCGTTTTCGGCGTCCCGCAAGGCCCTCCGCAACGCGCTACAATAGCGGGAGCTCCACAGTCGAGGCTATCGGCGCGCAGGCGCAGTAGCGACTTCTTCGTTGCGGAACGCTTAGCGGAGGGGGCAGCGCGGTCTACGAAAACTCAGGGAGTTTTCGTAGACCGCGCTGCCCCGCTATCGGCGCGCAGGCGCAGTAGCGACTTCTTCGTTGCGGAACGCTTAGCGGAGGGGGCAGCGCGGTCTACGAAAACTCTGCGCCTGCGCGCCGATAGCCTTGACTGTGGAGTTCCCGCTATCGTAGCGGATTGCGGAGGGCCTTGCGGGACGGCGAAAACGATCTACGAAAAGTGACTTTTCGTAGATCGTTTTCGCCGTCCGCAAGGCCCTCCCACCGTAAAAAAAAAACACATACCGTGTTTTTTTTTTACGGTGGGCGCCCCGTGACGTTCACGGTCAGGTGACTGTTTATTTCACGGTCATTTTTTACAGTGTACGTTGTTTCAGTACCTTAGAAACACTAGTCTTCCGCTCGTAAACGCACAAAAAACTAAGTTTAAAATGAATAAAACGATTTCTCAATACCACCTGGTAGTTGGGAGGCCGATGTAGTTATGATGACGTCGAATGCCTCCCGCCCCAGCGCCACTCACGGAACTATACAGCGCAAATGTAGAGACAACTGGGGCTTGAACGAAATCGCGAAGCTTGGTGAAGAAATCCACAGTGCTTCTGCAACGTGCATTCCACACCATCACGATCGCCGTTCTTAGCAGACCATAGGTAAGAGCTTGATCTGAGGATGCGGTCGCTGTCTTCAAGCCTCTCTGAGGCATGACAACACCTAGAGCTACTAGATGAGCTGCGCTTGGAGTCGACACCTCTCCGGGAGATAATGGAAATCCGGTTCGACCAAGTTTGACAGGCTACGCGCGATCCAGAGCTCGGCGCCGTAATTCCGCAGTGCAACGCTGTTTTTTTGTTTTTTTTTGTGGGTTAAGTATAGCTTGGGAAGATGCATCAGGTGTAGTCCAGAGCCTTTTATACTGGTGGTGTAGTCATGATACTAATCCTTTCATTCGTTTCAAACAAACTCTCGGTGTATTTTCGAACAATAAAAAAGATGCGTTGCCCCGACATAGTTGACATTTAGACAGTAAAATACTAGCTAAAATTTCGTTTAAAGGTGTAAAAAAAAGAAAAAGGAAAGAAAAGGAGTGCGTGTTTTTTTCCCCCTGCAGTTCTACGTAATATCTTATTTACAGACGCGACTTTCTATACGCACAATAATTGTTTCGGCGTCGAGTTGACATTACGTCAGGAGGTTCGTCACGTCATCTGGGTAGATGTTGCGATTATTAACCGAACATGCAATGCCAGTTTCTATTGGGCAGCTTATGTTCCTCGTCGTGTTGTCTCAATGTCATTGAGCAGGGCCGGTCTTTCGCCACCAAGCGGCCGCCCTGGGCAAACTCAAACAGTGGCGTCCCCCCCCCCTTTCCCTTTTTATGCACCCATATCTGCTATATTCTTTTTCACGTAAAAAAAATGTTTTTTTTTTTTTTTTTTTTTTTTTGTGGGTTAAGTATAGTTTGGGAAGATGCATCAGGTGTAGTCATGATACTAATCCTTTCATTCGTTTCAAACAAACTCTCGGTGTATTTTCGAACAATAAAAAAGATGCGTTGCCCCGACATAGTTGACATTTAGACAGTAAAATACTAGCTAAAATTTCGTTTAAAGGTGTAAAAAAAAAAAAAAAAAGGAAAGAAAAGGAGTGCGTGTTTTTTCCCCCCTGCAGTTCTACGTAATATCTTATTTACAGACGCGACTTTCTATACGC